TGAGAATATACGCCATTTATATTGGTAATTTCACTCACCCTCATTTGACTTATCTATTACTCAATACAAAAGTGGGAAAGAGAAAATTCAACATCCAAATCGACTTCAAAGACATTTAATTCTATGATATTCTCTTCTATTTTGCCTATCCTATTTATAACAAAACTGCTTAATTACTCTAAGTTAAAATCAGTTTGATCCCAGAGTGTCTGTATTGAAGTATATTGTACCTGCTCTCCGATATACCCCATAGTGGACTTATATTGTAGGTTTTCTTACCGGGACAATAATAACTCCCAATGGTAAAAGGTATGAAGTACGCTTGGCTAGTCAAATGTAAGCACGCGTTTAACACCTGACGTTGCTCGATACCGCACTTCATGACGTGTGCCTTGCTCACGTTTCATTACAGTGGGTCACCATTTCAATTTGTTTGTGTAAAGATTGGTGACATTCGTCATGTCGATGTCTAATTGTATCAGGAACCATTGATATGCTTAATCAATACCATATAGCATTGATAAATGGTTTAAACATTAATCGAAAGTCATTAAGCTGCGGCTGCAATTATAGAGATTTAATGCAGTAAAAGTAACAGAAAGGGATTAGTACAAGGGAAATTGAACAAATAAGACGAACATAACATAGAGTTTATAGCGGTTATATTGATGGCTTCCGCTGGCAAAAGTGAATGTTTGGTTCGAATCTCTCCCACATATGCAAGTTTTACATTTATTTCCTCTGATACCCCTTGTTTTACCTAATATTTGTTATTCAAGGTAACTTTTCCGACAGACTTGGTTACATCCAAGAAAAACTCGCAAAAAGAATTGGACCTGTCGTAAATAAACCAATGATTTTGTTATTCTATACATAGTCAGGAAGTTAAATAAATTATATCTTATTCTAAACCGTATTTACAATATGCTACGAATATATACAAATAAAACCCGTTTAAATAACAAAGCATATCATAACATTTTTGCAAAAAAGCGTAATGTTTTTCGTGTTAATGTTATTGATGAGTAAATAATGTTGGCAGGTATGAAAAATAAATATATTTCTGTTAAAAATATATAATAGTTATAAATTCAGTCTATAGAATTTGAAAAATGAAAATGGATTTACTGGTACTATGTTAAATGGGTGAAGCAAGTTTTGGCACAGGGTTAAATTATGTACAAATACAGTAATATTTTACATGATAATACCAGTTTCAGAAGAACAAATTCAAATCCACATAAAGTTCTTTACAGGGTGTTTAGCATCTTCACAATGTCGAGCTATTACGAACTTCGTGTTATACCTTGACGGCAATAGCCACTTTCTTGTATCACAGAAGTTTGTAAATACGATTGATTTGATTGTATGCTAAAGAATACAGCCTTTCAGAGGCTCCGACAAAAAGCTTGTTAACAATAAGCCATAATGTTTACAGTATTTCTGTCGAGGGCTCGGATTGGCGGTGTTCACTGGTGTACAATCCAATAAATTCGCTGCATTTCTATGATACAAGAAAATGGACTATTGCAGTCAAGGTATTTGTTGTAAAAGCTTGACATTGTGAAGATTGGTATTTAGAGTTCAAATTAGTTATATAACCGAGTTCTAGTTTTACCAACCCGTATTACTTGTCAACAAGAAAATACGACGTTTAGCTCGTATACAACTAAAACATGACGTTAGTGTTCACTATTTATCAATACACGTAGGCTACATTCCACCACAACTGTACATACTCAATATCCAAAAACCCACTCATGAATTGTGTTTCAGTAATGGTTTCTAAGGTACGTTCTAGCAGATTACTTTTACTGTTTTATTGGTTAAACTAGTACCACTATATTGTTAATCTGGTATCTACGTGACGTACATGTAATTAAAGTAAAACTGTACATCCAAATCATGTTAAAATAACATAACGTAATTCTTAAAACTCAGCGATTCCAGCTTGTAAAATGGCCACTACACGCAGGTGAGCAGCGTTTCCTGAAAAAGCAACAGAAACGAATTCATGGTTTATTTAGATGAAAATTTGCAGTGGCCACTAAATGATAAATAAACCTGATTGACCTTCATACCCTTAGAAATATCCAGCAATATCGACAATGAAAGTTTTGAATTTTGAGTCTCTTTTACCGAAATATAAACATATAATAACATACTGTTACATATTTGAAAGCAGAAGAAGTTGTCTGAAAATGGTGTTGCAGCTCTACAACTCGAGGCATATATACTATTGGAGATAACCTCAGAAATATTGAACCGTTATTGAACTCTAAAAGCAATCTGAAATATTTACTTACATAACATTACAGAGGAAAGTACACCAATCAAAATCAGAGCTAACTGTGGTTGTAACTCTATTGGTTGTTAAATTCTCTTGGGTCGTTGGTAGTGAATGGTATTTTGTTGCTTGCTCTGTTACTTCTGATGTAGGGTGACTACTCAAGGAAGTGTCTTGTGCAGTCGTGTTACTCCTTACACTTTTCATTTGAGAAGTTAAAGCGAGTCTTATTGGTTTGGTCGATGGCGTTGCTGATGATATGGTAAGAGAAACAGTGTCTGTTGGAGCTTCAAGTTGTGTTGCTAATTGTCCAGTCATCAATGCTGATGTGTTTTGTATGAAAGTTTCGATTTCGGTTTGCAGCATGAAATCAGTATTACCAACAATAGTTGGATCAACATTTATATAGTTTTCTGGAATCACAACTTCGTTCATGGATGTGTCCACAGGTGTCGATGTAAGGACGTTACCACCGCCAGTAATAATTGTGTGGTTGGTACCGGAGACGGTGGTTCCTTGATTTTCAGTTACAAATACCTGACCGAGATCTTTTGTGTCTTTTGGTAATGATCTTTGAATGTCAGAATCATTTTGAGATTGGTCCTTTAATCTTGTAACCATTGGTGATCTATCTTGGGTTGCAGTATCAAGGAGTGTTTGTTGACCGAGAGTGTGAGTATGATTAACCGGATTACCCGTTGTAGTTTCTAAGTTATTCCTCGTACCGATGTCAACAGATACTTGTTGCTGTATACCGTCATTTTGATCCAAATAATCTGCGTCTAATAAGTTTCTACCGGTCTTCATAGGTTTTTTTATAGGGTAATCTACAATCATGTTTTCAGATTGGTCGAATGGATATTGTACATTGTTCTCGTTAGGTGAATTGAACTTTGAATTATGCTCTCCATCAATAGAGTACAAACTTACCAATTTTTGGCGATTTTTGTTGATCGGTGACGGATTTTCGTTGTCTCCATGAATTTTATTATCACTCGATTTGATCCTGCTAGTGTTTAAGTTTTTGCTTTTACCAGTATTGTTCAATTTTTGTGTGGCACCAATTTCTGGATTCTTCTTTGGCATCTGCTGTTTAGATGGTTGGTGCGCAGACATGATATCCAAAAGAGACTGTCCGTCCAATATTTCGAAGGCTAACTTTGGATATTGACTTCCAAGTTTCATTCTATTTAATATATCTATGGTGTTGTCAATCAGGGGTCGTCCAAGATAGTTAAAATTGATCCCGTCACGTCTCATTGCCTGGAGATGTAGAAGCCTTCTAAAGACATCAATGTTCACCAGGCTGCCGCTCTTAACTGCTGCTGATTGATCCAACATCAATGAATGTTCCTTAATTGTGTGCCTATCTTTCGTCGCCTTGGCTTTTTCTATTAAATTCACTATTTGTTGGCCATCATATATCATGTTTGACATTTTGTCATAATGTGTGAATTTTGCTGTCCTTTGTTTAACGACTCTACCGTAATGGATATCATTACTTTTCGGGTACTGCTTCCGTTCACGAAAGACTGTTTCTGGTTCAGTTCGTTTTGTTCAGTTATAGTTTCAGTCTTGAGGGGACGACATCGGATAACAGGGACAACGACCATTATTAGTAGAAATGAGAGTAATAGTTTTTGAAGCAACATGTTCTACTGAAAAGAAAGATAATGCTTTTATTGATTATTTCATTTCATTGTTATATTTTCTCTTTTTTTTTAGTATATCAAAATAGAACTGGCGTAGGCAAAAACTTTACACGCCAGTCCAAACAACAATTAAGGAAAAGAATCAAAGCAAGCAATAACTGTCGTTGTATGTACTGAGTCAAGTTAATTTATTCTATTGCGTGTCTGTCTTAGATACATTCATCATAATAAACTGAAAGTTTAATTTTTGTGTACGATACAACTACCGAAATGTTTATACTAATTTATAACTTACGTAAAATGAACATAATTGTGTAATGAAAAGATAAAGAGTATGCATACTTCTGTTTCAGCCATGCGTATAAAACATTGAAGCAATACTGGAATAGTTTGGTATTTTAAGTCCAACAACATAACCCTGAACCCTAACCCTAACCTACCTATATAAATTGTAACCGAGCTAGGAAGATGGTTTGTTCTGTTTTCTCCTGCTTTATGTAACAATATCCAAAATCTATCCAGATACAATTTCCACGTAGTCCAAACAGTTAGTGTACTGCGTCTTCATCTGTTGTGATGTCCAATAAGGCGTGGCTATGAAATTGCACACGGACGTTAAGCCTCCCAAAAAACACAAAACAACACCGAACCCAAATGACTGGTGACGTTATTGTGTTTTCATGAGCAATACAGCAATCGCGTAAAATATAATCTTTATTATATAGCTCGTGAGAAGGTAACATTAATAATTGTCAACAATGATGACAGATTAGAAGGTTAATGCGGTAATACCACTTACATAGGCGTCAAAAATGAAATTTTGAAAAAATACCTATATTGCTTTTGTAGATAGCACAATGTTGCGTCTTGCAAATACTGGGCGAAATTTCTTATTTCGGCCGGCAGGGAAAAATTCCGATATTCCTGCCAAAGTTAACTTTACCAGAAAGGGCAATCAGGGAAACGTCCGTTGTCGGCATTTAATCAAAGTACATTCAATTTAAGAGGCATCTTTCCTTAAATTCAAAAATACCATTGGTGAGATCCTACAACAATCCCGTTTTTAAAACAGAGATGTAGTTTTTGCACGATGTACCTTAATTAACATGTTTTATTTGACTGAATTTTTATTAAAGTGATGAATATGCTCGTAACTGTCACTGTTCAACCCACTCCCCATATATTACATTCATTTAAAGGGAAACGAGTAAAGGTGGTGATATCACTATAATTAAAAATGGCGAGGGTACGAAACACAACAAATGATCCTTTCTTCTGATTCCGGTTTAGTAACTAATGTTCCCGTCCAAAAAAAGTCATCGCGAAGACAATATATAGTGTTGTAAGTTTGCATTTCGTGTAAATACGGATGCCTCAAAATTTAAAACGAAATAATGTTTGTCTGAAAATGCAAGGTGGTTATACAAGCACATGTTTATTTTGCCATTAATGCAAACTGATCATGTTTAAGCTGATATTCCAATTGACAATAAAATAATCGGTAAAATTCGATTAACCGCCGAAAGTACCGAGACAGTAGGACACAAAGTTCGAATCAATCGGTCATAATGGAGACAGAGAGTCTCATTCTCTTCATAAATAATTAATAAATGATTTGGTTAAATATGTCGACTACATTCTGATGAACTTGTGAATTGGAAGAGTTGACATCGATTTAAGGCAGTCCTTAGTTAAAACATACAGTATTCATTCACGCATGCCAGAATATCAAGCGTTACCAAAACTGTTAGTTAAAAAAATATTATGGTAAAGGCCTCTTGCACCAATATTGGTGGTAGTTGAGGAGGGGGGGAGGGGGGGGGGGGGTTTGGTGGTATTTATAAAATAAATTGTGGAAATATGCATTTGTTCATGGTAAAAATGTAATAATATGGCAAGAATATTCTTTGAAAATGCATAAAATGTACTGTTTTTCAAAACTTTTTCCCTATGACCAAAAAATGGATTTGAAAAAAACCTTGGCGATAGCGCCTCCCAATCCGAAGTTCTGCAGCCAAAATATGCACAAAGATTTAATTGAAAATTAAGTAGCCTCTGTTATTTAGACGTTAAAACAATTTTTGGGAATTTTTTTTTGTACTACAGGACGATAGTAAAGAATATCAATATGTTAAAAACTTCTCAAGTACATTTTACTTCATCAATAACACAACTTAAAACAATTAACAATGAAAATATTAATTACAACATATTCTTAGAACGACAAATATTCTAATAATAAAGCAAAAAATATGCAAATAACTGTCAACTGTAGCTTAAGTATGACTTAATCATAGAAAACCATACCGAAAAATGTTAACTTTATACAAAAAAAAGATAACTTTGCCAGTACACCTAGTGACTGAAAAATCCTGCTACTTGATTTAGAAGATGGTACAACTAGGCACCAATTAATAGCTAAAAATTCTAATTTGCTGACGTTCTTTTTTGCCGCTGTCCTGCTTAAATTACCCTCAATGTACACTAGTAGATCGTCATTGCCATGAGAAATTCTATGAATCACCAATGGACCTGAGCCGATTTGGATAGAGAATTTATCTGTTCATCCGTAATCGAGTGTAGAGAAATAAAGACACCAATCTGACCACAAAAAGCCCCCGCAGTTCTTTGTAGCTATGAGCATCCATAATTTGTGTCATAACTAAAACCTTTGGCCACAATAGTTTTGAAAATGGAATATGATGTGAACGTATTCAAGCAATTTTCGGCATTTCATTGTCCTATCAATAGTTATATGTGGAAGTAAGCGCATTTTGTGATGCCCTTGCCAAAATTTATTCTAAAATAAAATGAAGAGCCCTGCAAGAAAGCATGAAATCAATGTCATATGACTACATTTTGAGATCAATGGTTGATCACTGCTATCGTGTCCCAATCTCTTAGCTAGTTTGACACGATGTTTCGTATGTGAAGACACGGTCCACTAAGCTTTAAGAGAAATAAGAAATATAATACATTCATTGTTATCAACGTAATACATTTTACAATTTATCTCATTCGTAATTTTTTTTTCATACGCCCCTTCGATTTTCTATATTAATTAATTTTTTAAATTAAAAAACATCTTTTAGTTTTAAAATAGTTGACTTAAATGTAATTAATGAATTGAAGTTTTTTGTCGTAATGTTTATTTCATTCAACAAATTAACTGTACACCACACATCGATATAAACTGGTTCGATTACATACAGAGTTGTTTCCCTTAGCACCAATCCGAACCTTAATTCAAAACCACCCATCGCCCAATCTCACATACGGAGTTGTCAGACCTTTCAGGCCCTTTTAATGCTTTCATCTCAAAAGTAGTCTAAAAACACATTATCTTGCGATTTAAAACCCATTCGATATGTTTTAAGTATCAGAATATTGCCACATTTCTTTAATAGTAGCAATTCTAAGCAATAAACGGTTTCTGGTCAGGGTGTCAGTTTGTACCAAGCCGTAATATAAGACTGGTGAAAAGAAATACAAGCTATGAGAAAATAAAATTATGCATGGTATAGTATTGTATTCATTGGAAATCTTTCCTTTTGTTTCGCGGGGTTTTCATAATTTATTTAAAAACTAGCCGGCAGAATGGTTTTATTAAAACTTTTGTCGTACGTATTTAAAGTTTGGCATGATCAATTTTAAAGAGACGTTTTTCATGGAATACCAAGAATATTGTCTTGGTAGTTACAGATATTAAAGCCCCAATGCTAAAATAAACATGATAATTTTCTCTACAATCACACTTAGATTTCCAGTCGGATTATCTTTAACGTGCATATCAGTTCGACGCTCTTTCAGGTCAGCTTCACCAATCTGCCGGGGAAACCTGGCTGAAGGTACCCGAAGGTTTAACCTCGACCTTCTTTGATACTGTACGAATACCTCATACTGAAAAGTGAATCGGAAATATCGAGCCGTTATTCGAGGCCAAGGGCGATATCTACGTTCTTAATATTGAGATAGACACAGACTGCTAATTTAATACACAACTACACGTCATACAATTTTATGGAAATTGTTTGAAATGTGTCTATTGCACATTGTAACTTAAAGATCAAATATGATAGAGATGCTTTCTGAGTAACTTCGTAATGGTAATTGAGCTTGGAACCAGCAAGATGTTTAAGATTCTACTCTGGATGGTTGTTGGAATACATTCTCTGGTCATTGAGAAAGGAGATCGTCTCATGTTAGATCCCATAACGAATTCTGATCCAACAACGCCGGTATTGACTACTACATCTCGCTCTGCATTGTCATGTTTTGTTAAATGCTTACAGATGGCATGTGATTCAGTGGTGTACTGTACAGGTTTATCTGCTTGTTCTTTGTATCTGACTAAAGAACGCACTTTGAATGTTAATGATACAAAGGGAACCCCTGATCAATGTACTTATATAAGACGAAAGGTTTGTATCTTTAACTTTCTATATTTTAACTTAACAAATGTACACAAATTGCTTGGAAGTTTTTAAGAAAAAAAAATTTCAGTGTAAAAAAAAACTCGATAAATACATACTTAATTCTATAGAAAAACAAGAAGAAAACACTGGGGTATGAGATTTACAGACATTTTTTTTACATCTTTTTTTAGACAATATCATATACCAACTTGTTTTATGAAGAATTGTGAATACAATTGCATTGAAATTCGCTCTTCTTCTGGTCATATTTCTTAAATCCTTGATCAAGTGGCTATGGTTTGATTCACTAAAGTGACCGGAATGACCATATAATTGTAGACAGTCCTCTGTTTATTTCTATTTTCAACGTTTCAGAATGTTTGTGAAAGTGGGGAGTATGCCAATGGTATCTGTATACATTATAATGATACTCAGTTTCAGACATTTGTTTCAGGTAAATATTCAACCATTAACTTCCATTTTATAGGTCATCTAAATTCTAGGTGAAAACTGGTATTTATATATCTTAAAGCAACTAGTTAACCAACCAATAAAATCAATGAAATGGAATGAGCCATACTATAAGATATTTTGAACTGTGGCATAACAAGAGCGGAAAAAAGCATACAATACATGAACATATTTTGTTTCGATATACGTTCTTTCAGTTTGAATTTAACGGTTTATTGTTACCATGTATTTATTTGCCTTTACAGATTCCTATAAATTGATGTATGAATCCGGTAATTACAATACTAATGAGGTGTTATTACACAGACATATTGACCTTGGTTACAAATTAGGCCTGCGGTTAAAAGTTACTGAGAAGTTCAGTTTGGATGATGGAACAAATTTTACAAGGTATATACCACCATCAATAATCGGTATGGGATCTGATTTCATTCAAGAACAAGTTATGAGTCTGATGATGCTATCAGGCCGATCTATAAATCCAGACATCATCAAGGCATATGAAATCATGGCATCAAATGGCAAGAGGATTTCATTCAACTCTTCTTCATCTGCACCCGAAACAAAAGAAACTTCTCTCCAATGGTATATGAGAAAGCTCAATGAAACTGAGGAATGCTATAGCAAAGTTCCAAATGGTGAAGTAACCGGAACTATGAGCGACTGTATAGCAGCAGTTCAGAATGGTTCCGAGTTGTATGTCGTAACCTCATCTTTGGCAGGTCCAGTAACTATTGAAATTCTAGATGTCGCCTCGCTGGAATACTCATTTCCATTACACTTAGATTTCCATCAAGTTCAAGGGGAGGATTTCGAGCCGTATGATGATTCTACAGCTTGGAGTGTGGTGGTAGGCAGGTCTAATGAAGCTCTTATAACAAGAGTTGCTGTAAAAATGGAAATCGATAGGCCATATTCAATTAGAACCGAGGATCAAAAGGTGCAGTACTTTATCGACATTGGCTGGTATAAGGCATTTTCTGTAAGTGAAAATGGGCACATTCTTGAAGGAACTATACAAAATTTGATGGATGTCATTAAGTCCGGTAGTCGTGTCAGAGTAATGACACACTTTGATCGTACTCGGATGTTAACAACCAATGCCCTGTACATCAATGAATTAGACAGATCTGTCCAAGGTATCACATCAGGTTACCCGCACACCAACGACATTCTACAAACTTTAAGACCGGCTTTGCGATATACTTACTTACAAACATACGGAGAAGCAAAAATGTGTATTATGGGAGTTGGAAATCCGTCAGTTCTCGCAGAAATAGAACCGTTTCAGATGAAAAGCGAATGGTATGTTGAATCGAGGCCCTGGACATGTGTGTTGAAGACTGATGAAAATCAGAACATTGGTTTTGGAAGCATCGAAGATCTGAAACAAGCTGTTATAAACCAGAAGGACGTTCGATTGATCATCGCCACTTCTCCTCACGATAAATTAGCTGTCGATGTAACTGAAACAAGGTTTTATGACGACGGTTCATTCGTTTGCCAATTTGGACCAGTTACTATGAATGTTACCACCTGCATGCAATGGAGTGGAGTTGTAAATGAATCATTGATTGTTCAGATTGTCGAAACAATTCCCTTTCAGTCGACAGGTTCTGGTACGATGAAATACATTACGAATGCTATAGAATGGTTCGTCAACTAGCTGAGTAGAAAAACTAGAAAACATAACAAAGCACTTCTTAAATGGTAGTATAATTTTGCACGAAAAAAAAACTTTTTGAACAATATAGTAACATAGTACAACTTCTGTAAACCTACATCACCATCAGAATTACTAAACCAATGTAATCCATCTTGTTCTTACTTACCTCTCAAAAACGATGATTATAGTCTCACAAGTTTGCATTTACATGATGCTCAAGAAGTCGAGATAGATTCGCACTCGCCCATTGGTTCCACAGCACAAGATCAATCCACAAATCAGACCTATGATGGGGTATTTTCTGACAAACCTGAAACTCAAACAAACAAAAGGCCGCGGTACACGATGAACAAATCATCACTTAGTGATAGCACTCTACCGGAGACTGAATCTGATGCTGACGATTCTGATAGAGAAACCAAGGAAGAAAAGAAAACTTTTCGAATGTTCCTCCTCTGATGAAGATCTTGCCCACTCTCCAATTAGACCAATTTCAACAACCTCTGTACCTTCATCCCCAAATACACCCACACACAACCCCCCACATAAAAGATCAAAGCCAGGAAAAGCCATGCCAGAAAAATGGAAAAAGAACATACAAAAGCAATTACGAATGGAAGGAAAGGATTATAGCGGGATAAAGAAAGATGACGAGGGTCATTATGTGTATTCATCTGAGAAGCAAAAGAGAACATTGGGAGAAAGGAATTGTACTCGATTGTGTGCAATAGGGAAAAAATGCACTTCATTCAGTGAGGATGAACGATCTTCTATATTTGATCGTTTTTGGACGAACTTAAATTGGGATCAAAAGAGAGTTTTTGTTGCTGGATTGATAGACAAGGTTGAAGTAAAAGAAAGGAGGAAGAAAACGGGCGAAAGTCGAAAGAAGTATTCCTTTAAGTATTTCTTGAAAAAGAATGAATAACGCCTTCCCGTCTGTCGCAATATGATGTTAAATACTCTTGGACTTAAAGACAAGATGGTTTACGAGTGGATGAAAGATGTTAGTGTGGATGTACCGAACAAAACACCAGATAAACGACGCAATACGCAACGCACTGATAACAAAGTCATTGCAGCCAAAGAATTTCTGGGGAAACTACCAAACCTACCTTCTCATTACTGTCGCGCAACATCGAATAAGAAATATCTTGAACCCATTTTCACCACATTCGCAGACTTATATCGAGTTTACAAACAGTATTGTACAACTGAAGGAGTGGGCATTGTTTGTAAGAAGGCCTTTAAGTCATGTTTTGATGATTTGAATCTGTCGCTTTCTCGTCCTAAGAAGGACCAGTGTGATATTTGCTGTGGATTCGAAGCCGGAAATATCTCAGAGATTGATTATAACAACCATATTAATCTGAAAAATGAGGCGAGGATGAAAATTCCAATGACAAAGCACGAGCTGAAAATGACAATCGTATTAAAGTCATAACCCTTGATCTCCAGTCATTGCTCCTCAGTCCACGTATTCAAGCTAGCTCCATGTATTATAAAACTAAGTTAGGCTGTCACAATTACACAATATATGACTTGAACACAAGGCAGGTTGTTTGCTACTTTTGGCACGAAGGGGAGGGAGAACTTTCCGCGAACTCCTTTGCCTCGTGTTGAGCGGATTACATTGATAATTTGTCGGGACATATAGACGAACTTATAATTTTCAGTGATGGTTGTACATACCAAAATCGAAACGTCATCTTATCTAATACCCTTCTAAAACTATCTGAAGATAAGAATATTACAATTGTCCAAAAATTTCTAGAGAAAGGTCACACCCAAATGGAGTGTGACAGTGTCCATAGCACTATTGAGAGGCGTTTACGCAACAAGCCTATTTACGTTCCACAAAATTATGTAGATCTAATAGGTACTGCCCGTGTTTCTCCTCCGTACAAAGTAAAGTATCTCTCCAGTGATTTTTTTCGGAAATATTCGGAATTGAAGTACTATACCTCAATCCGTCCTGGTCGCGATAGTGGAGACCCTGTAGTTACTAATATACGACTTCTCCAATACAAAAACGGAATTATCTCCCATAAGTTACGGTATTCTGATACAGAATTTGAAGAGTTACCTTGTAGACGTCGAAACTCAGAGGCATCCGAAACACAGTTAACCATTCCAAAACTTTATGATGTAAAACCAAAAATCAAAGCAAAGAAATACAAACATTTGCAGGAACTAAAAGCAGTTATTCCTAAGGATTACCACCCGTTTTATGATGGCCTTATTCACGATTAACTCATGCCCATCTAATCCACATTGAGAATGAGTTTATTTGTATTGTTATATTTTATTGTGATAGTAACTAAGCCGTTTTAATTTCATTCTTTGAGATTTATTTTACAGTACACTCTTTTCATACAGAATATCAAGTAGATATCGTCATTCTTTGTTTTTATTGAAATGATTTTTTTTTTAATAAAATTTGTTAACTCGTTTGAATGATATATTTTTCATTCATGTGGACTTTATCTGTTTAGTAATATCAAAAAAATATTCATAAAACATGTCTATCTGTTAAAATCAAAATGACGTATAACATCATTTTTCTCAAATTGTAATGTCAAAATCGCGTATATCCATTTCTGACGTCACGAATGTAGACCCACACAAAAATGTACCAGCATAGTATGTAAAGACGCATAAGAACTATATATACCAAAAACTAACATTATTCTTCCATTATTAACAAAGTTATGCAGTTTTTTGTCTGTCCTGAAAAATTTTGAATTCTGCATATTCGCGATTTTGGAAGCCCACCGACGATATGGGAACTCGTTCGTATCCCATACAAATACGCTTTTAAGATTACCAAAAGTATCCGGATAATTTAAAAGGGTTATAGGCAAAAAGCCAATGCAAGACATTGGGCAAAACCATTGCTTCAAGTGATCCTGTGTGCATCGTTAGTCGAGGGTTTCTGTCCAGTAATAATGTAACGAGTAACGAGACGCCATTATTGATATTTTAAAATAAAAATATTTATCATTTTGTCTGCTTATTTATGTGTTTCTTTCTTAATATCATACGACGAAAATCAAGAAATTTTATAAATTATACTTCAAAGACATAGCATTAGAAAATGAACTGAAAACATCCACATATGGGTGGAAACAACACTACCTCGAAATTGTGAAACTTTTTTTAGTAAACCCAATCGCACGAAGAGATAACTATATTTGTTTATATTTCGTACATAAATGGCGCTTACGTATGTAAACTTAACTGCGTGATTACAGCATTCTATGATAATAGCCCCATGAAGTCAAGGTATTCGATGTAGCTTAAGATTGTGAAGATTACGCTTGAATACTACCGTTTGCCATTCAGAAATGAGGGGACCATTTATACTAAAGGTTTAAAACTTGGATGTCACTGACATCGTTAACATTATCCTTTATGCCATTAATGGTATCCTACACATTCTGAGAGCGGAATTTGGGTAATGACGTCACTACTGAATTAAGTTCTTCAAGGTGAATTATCGAGGCATTTATCTCGATCTTTACCCTGATATTTCATTAAAAAAGACCAAAATAGTTAATATTTTCACTTTTCAATAAGCAGAAAGTCATTATAGAGGTGTATCATTAAAACGTCGTTAAGACGATCTCGCAAGTGTTAATCACAAGCAGCAAACAACAGCTGTTGGGACGGAATACGGGCTTTGATGAATTTTCACAGAGATGTTGTCGTCGGTTGATGGCTAAATTATGATTCTTCACGCCAACAGTTTTCCTTAATTGAAATTTCTCGAATGACAATAAGTAGTACCTCGTTATAAAAGTATAGTTCAAATTTTCTTCCAGTCCTCTTGTCAACTTGTCCAAACAATGAGGAACATCGGACTTATTTCTCTTCACATTATTGTGGGTAAGTGTTCTTCACTTTTCTTTTTTTTTATAAAAAGGCCTTAACTTGATTTTTCTTCCGGCACAGAAAATAAATCAAAGACAGACAGGTTTCTGGTTATATATTAAAAAGTCACTATATACGGATTATGGAAGACCATTGATGACTGAAGTTCTGGCAAATTTTGGAATTTGGATTTCGGAAAAGTGAGTGTCAAATGAATTGTTTTTTTTTTTTAAATATAATACAGTACTGATAAACACGGGCTGCAAAAATCAATTTATTGTATTTCCGTGTAATTTCCTTAGTCACAACTCAATCGCCTCCGTTTTTTTCTCTATTACAAATAGGTATTGCTTAGGCTAGTAATATACACCCATAGTAGCGGTTAACAAATTTTATCATTAATTTCTTATGCAGTATATTATCCAAAATAGTCCAAAATCAAATGCATGACAATTTTTTGTGAATTGAAAAACATTACAAAATTTAGAAATCTGAATCTTAAAATTGAGAACTTCAAAGATTTTTTTTTTAATGAATTGAAATTACACAAAAGTTCAGAAATTCAGAAACCAGTGATGGTCAATTTAATATGATATGGTTATTCGATTGTATATACCGATATCAAGGTGTCCAGAAAAAACTTGATCTTGATATTAGATTGCCACTCATAGATCTCAATCTCTTCTACTCATGAAATAGAATTTGAAAATTAGCTTAGTCTATAAGAAAGACTTTGCGTTGAAAAATATATAAATTTTTCAATTTTCAATCATGAATAAAAACACACTTCTATTCTAGAAATTATAACCGAAAATGAAACTGAATACAAACACACTTCCCTGACAGATATTTCTACCCGATATGAACATTATTTTGACTGAGATTTGGTATGTTATGTTTAATAAAATGGAATACGAAATAAACTTACCGATATTCTCGGGATATGTTGGCATAAGAAGGCTATTCACTAAGAATTGGTATCAATATTTCACTCATTTCAGTGCAAATCGCAGGCAAATATCCCCAATCTTCAATGTTTACATCATACGAGTTTCTCTAGGACGGTGGCGAGTTATGTCCCTTTTACAAATGCACGTGCATATCAATGATTGTCCGAAATATTCTAGTCGTTATAAATAAAATCAGGCAATAAATCAAGAGTTTCATGAAAACTATCTTCATTGTTAGCAATGAAATCAACTTTATTACTTTAATACTTGATGTGATTCTATACACAGTGTGGTCGGACAGTAAACAGGTGATACTCTCCTGTTTATATCAATGCAAGTCTTGTATAGGAAATATTTCATGTACATTACATATGAACAAGAAGTTGCGTTAAAAGACTGGACAGACAAACAGATAGACATGGACAGAAAATGGTCTGAAATGGACAGTGGCGAAGAAATCAATGAATGTCTGTATTTCGGTATTGTAGAAGAATTAAACCTGATTTTAATTTTGTGTTTCAGTGTTAGTGTTTATGATCAGATCCTCAGATGCCTCTTCATGTTCGTGTCCATTATGTATGAAATATGACGATCATCAACAGCGCTGTGAATGTTGTGTTTATTCTGTGTTTGGTAAACGATCGGATCCCATCATGAAAAGAGTAAAAATTGATACAAGTGAAGAGTGGAATCGTGTGGAAGATCCATTAACTGCACTCTATGAAATAAAAAGGGAATTTATTGAACGATACAAGAAATGATTTTTCTCTTGTGTGTTGTGTTATATTGTCATTATGGATAAGGAAAATAAAATATTGGATATGTTTTCATTCATATATCCGAATAGTTCGATTAATCTTATTCATAAATGCAGTTGGATATTTCATAATAATTATTTTATGGCCAAACGTTTTACATTCGGATAACTCAATATTGTGATAATCGAATAGTTTAATATCTCGATATCTGAATGGTTAATATTTTGGCATTCGAATAGTTTAATATTTCGATATGCGAATAGTTTAATATTTCGATATTCGAATGGCTCAACATTGCGATAATCAGATGAATATTTAGATATTCGTAAAGTTTAATATTTCGATTTTCGATTACTTTAATATTTCGATTTTCGATTACTTTAATATTTCGATATTCGAATAGTTTGATATTTCGATATTCCAATAGCTCAATATTTCAATATTCGCATAGTTCAATATTTCGTCTTGTAAACATTATAAGAAATCAAATAAAGTTTTACAAAGCTATATTATTTTATCTTTAAATTCATTTCCAGTTTTTAACACAATTATTTGTCTCTCCGCATGGCTTGAGCACACTCGTAATTAAGTTTCCATTTGATAGAATATTATCTCTAAGTTTTGTACTGAGAAAAAGTAACAAAGATATGGATTTTTGTGATCCAGTTCGTTTTTCCAATGAAGATTTCGTATTTCTTGTTGGTGACCGCTTTCCAATGACATTATATACACAACAAGTACATCTTTGGTGGTAGTCCACAACAGTGACACATGCATGACACCTGCAGGATACCGACGTCATAGTTGAACATACCTCAACCATAACACATATTAAAAGAAGGTATACTGAAATGACAAAAAAAAGTGGTATGGGAGGTGACAAGAAAGATAGTCATGTTCTTGGAATGGCGACAACAGGTATAACCATTGTTAGTAGTGGTATTATACGCCATGTTCTTCTAGATTTTTAAACAAAAAAGCGACCAAATGTTGTGGAATATTTATCGTATTATACACAAATAATTTCAGAAAAGACAAATCCATAAAACTTCATTTTTTTGTCAGAAAATAATTTTTACGTCAAATCTCACAAAATGTCCACTGAACATTTGCATCTCGTTAAAAATTTACGTTTTTCGTCTCAGCAAGTGTCTACACCATTCGTCAAAGTTATAATGCGTTAGACAAATTCTGATATCGCATTTATGTTAGAAAACGCCTCAGTAAACGATAACTTTTGTTTCAGAAAAAGTTTATTTTGATTTCAGAAAAGGTCTAATTAAGTCTCAGAAAACCGTCTACAAATATTTATTTTCGTCTCTTTGTAAGTTTTGGATAAATGTCTATCTATGTCAGAAAAAGTATATAATCGTCTCAGTAAAGGTCTATTTATGTCTGAAAACGTCTATTGTCGATTCAGTAAACGTCTACTTACGTTAGAAAACGTTATATATTTCCTTTCAGTAAACATCTATTTATGTTATATACACTTTTACTTAGTAAAGGTCTACTTTTGTCAGAAATCGTCTATCGACGCAGTCCATTTATATCTGAAAATGAATCCTTTCATCTCTATTGAAGTCTACTTGTGTCAGAAAGCGTCTTCTTTTCATGTACGTAAGCAAAATAACGCACTTCCTCAGATTCTGGTCTAAAAGACTCTAATGAACCACTAATGAATCAGACTTTTTAAGATAAATAGACACAGCTTTATGGAACAACAACCACTGGTTAAAGTTTTATGCAAAGTATGTATCGTACTCACTATTGCAAAATGTCATATAACTACTTTAAAATAAATACTCACCTAAAAATTTTGGAATCATTTTCAATTACTCCGACCACCTTGATGTTTCACTGCGGAATAATTTCCGAAAGAACGCAATATACGTATTTATATATGAATCTGACGCCCTTCTTACAAAATTCTAATAATGCCACGAACATAAATGACAGAATTTTCATATCGTTTCATTGTTCTGAAGAGAGACTTGATATATTATTAACTGGCTCTGTCATTTTTTATTTTAATTATCCCCGCTGATGGTCATTGAAAGCGTGTGAATGATGAACATTTTTTTTTTTTTTACAATAATATATACAATACAATCACGACAGCGTGTAGTGCACTGTACATGTATTTCGAAATCAATTTTTCTTCAATAAATGGCAAACTTTTTTGCAGAATGTTTATGAAAGATTCCCCTCGAAGCATCATGTATATAAGTCTATTTCATTTTATTTATTAAACGTAATATGTAAAATGACATAGACTAGTGTCTTGTAGCATTGTAATAATATAGAATTAAGCTCTGAGTAACAACATGAATCAAATTCTGTTTTAATATTTCTACAATATATAAATATATTTTCAAATATCAAATTGTCGAGGTGTCCGTGGCTAATTGTTATCGGTATCATTTACAAAATCCGTGGATGTGGATGTCAAGGCATTCAAAATTTCCACGCTATTTTTTTCATATAAATTATTATACAAAATGTCACATATTGGCCAGTGGTATCCTTGCACTATTGTTCGTTGCGTGATTTGAATTTTTCGATGAAAAAAAAAACAAGTTTGGAAACGTTGGGGGGTGCTTTTCAAGTCGACTTCGTGTTCTAAATATAACACTGATAGGCGTTTCTTTTGAAACCTACGAGTCAATTCAAAATCATACACCACTCAGAGTAGCTATCTATTCTCATAAAATTATTAAACGAGAAAAGGGATGATGAATTTCTGTGACATTTTTCTTATCACGTAATTTTTTGGCAAACTTTGAGTAGACAATTTTATTATTTTTTTTCTATTATTATTAACATTGTAAAAAGAAAAGTCCGTAAATGGAAAAAAAAAAGAGTTTGACTAGGCCTACTCTTTCGAAATTAGAGCTGTAAAGAGTGTGCATATATTATTTCCGCTTGTAAATCTAGACTATCAAAGTGAAAGTAGATCTAATGCCAAAATAACAGAACACTGGACTAAAAGATGCCTATTTCTTAGAGATTTTAATTTGATAAGACTACCCGCACAGAATTTTCATTTACAAAGGTGCTATCTTAGAAATTGGGTATTAAGAGCATAGAATAATAACTTTTCTTTCGATTCTGCTCAATTTATCTTATAAGTTATTATGACTAGTTGGATGAGCATTGCATGTATAGCAACTGGTTTGACAGCTGGAATCATGATCATAAAACGTCTTTTGACAAGAAACGCTATTTACAAGGCCAATTTATTAATGACAGGCAAGACTGCTATTGTAACTGGAGCAAATGTTGGAATAGGAAAAGCTACAGCCTTGGATTTGGCTCGAAGAAATGCAAGAGTTATTCTTGCCTGCAGAGATCTTAAGAAGGCTGAGAAAGCGGTCAAAGACATTAGGGGATATACATCTAATGGTGAATTGATTGTAAAACAACTTGATCTTGCCAGCTTGAAATCTGTGCGACAATTTTGTCAAGACATTTGTCAGGAAGAGTCTCATTTGGATGTGTTGATAAACAATGCAGGGGTCTTTCAATGTCCCTATATGAAAACAGAGGATGGTTTGGAAATGCAGATGGGTGTGAATCATTTTGGTCATTTTTTGTTGACCAATTTACTGTTGGATTTGCTGAAAAAATCTGCTCCCAGTCGTGTGGTGATCGTCTCATCTGCTCTCCTTAAACGTGGAAAGATTAATTTTGATGATATAAACAGTGAAGAAAGTTATTCTCCATCCAAAGGCTATGCAAACAGTAAATTAGCTAATGCGTTATTTGCTCGAGAACTGAGTCAACGATTGCAAGGAACAGGAGTTAATGTGTACTGCCTTCATCCTGGAGTGGTAGCTACAGATCTGGGAAGACACTTGGTACCTCAAGCTCTATTAGGAGTACTTAGACCACTAGCTGGTTTGGTACTAAAGACCAGTACAGAAGGCTGTCAGACTGTAGTATATTGTAGTGTAGAACCAGAGTTAGACAATGAAACTGGCAATTATTATGGAGATTGCCACCAGAAACCATGGAGTCCAGCAGCAAGTGATCTAATGTCAGCCAAGAAGCTGTGGGAAGTTAGCTCCATTTTAACAGGCTTATCTACCAAGAAATTACAATAAAAACTTGAAAAGAACCCTAATAAACCTAGATTATTTTGTTTCATAAAGCAGCAGTTGAAAACTGACATTTAATAATATTTGTAGTACAGTAAATGTGTTTATTTTTCAATATGGTTCCGCATTAGAAAAATTCCAAAGAATTCCCTATAGCAATGCACATAATTGCCAAGTGTAGCAAAATTATGTCAAAGTTACAATTGATTGCATGTATGTTAGAACGTGCCCCCATTTAATGAAAAAAATGAAATGAATGGAATTTTACGTCCTACTCCCCATTTAATGAAGACATTAACAAATTATTTTCGGCCTGTTAAATGCCCCATATACAACAACATCTTAAAAATATTGAATTTAACAAATAAGCCAAATGATATAACAGCAACAATTTATTAAAGGTATTTACAGTATAATAATTGATATCATGATAACCAATCTTTCATATAAACACAAGTAGTGGGTGAAATAGCACCACCATCATGGCACTGATCAAATACCTGCAATAAAAAGTATGCTAATGACAAATCAGAAAGGTATCTACAAAAATTTGTATGTATCAGAGACACCAACATGTAACTTTTAAAAAAACCAGGATGAAATTCTGAGGCTCTCAACCTATACTAGGATCTTGATTTGCAAGCAACCTTCAAGATACCATCAAGATCAAATGAAAACCCTATTTATATTGCGCTAAAGGAAATGTTGACATTGAATGGACAGGGTCATAGCAACGTATAACCACAGTCAATCTAATTAAAATTTGATTACAATTTTGTTTCATTATCATTATTTTTGTCTGTTTCATTTGTAATCTAACAAGATTTATTCCAAGATCATGTTCTGGCGACATTCCAAGCTATTTAGAGCAGACAAACACGCACTTCTTTTTACATGTGAGTATCAACAGTTACATAATCTCATTGGTCAGATTGCTCTACTTTGGGTTTTGCTATCCCTCAATTCATAGTCGATATTGTCAATGGTATAAATCTTTTTAGATTACAATGGAGACCAATGAAAAATAATAACGAAACAAAATTGTAATCAAATTTCAATTTGATTAGTCCACATTCATAGAGTTGGCAAATTAACTAAATCATAATTTTGGTATATCGCAGAAAGTGTTTACTTACTGGACATGAACCACAAGGCATCCTCATTAAACCAGTTGTTTCTAATACAGGTTTTACTGATCTATATAATTTTCTCTGTTCATCAGTTTGGTTACCAGCTAGGACTGCTCTTTCTACCTTACCATCATAGATTAATGTATCTAATATTGTCTCTATATCTTCTACTGCTAACTGAACCTAATACAGAGGATGATAAATCTTTAATAATTGATAAAACTGCAGGAAGTAACAGAATTTTTGTGACTTATGAAACTGCCGATGAATTTACCTTTTTTTAAAGAGACAGATGCGCCATTTTTTGGACCAATCATACATTAGTCTCAGAAACCGGTTTATTAGCTAAGCCAATCAGTAATAGTGTTTACAGCTCATCATCAAAATGTGAGTCTTCAAATCCATGCGTGTCCAGAATTATCCGCATTTGAAAGTTAAAAAGAAACATTGTCTTTTCTTAAGACACTGCCATATATAGAAAAGATATCTTTAGAAATAGGAAAAGAAATTCCTAGATTGAAGTATTTTTGAAGGAATTATTCGATGTTCCTACTGCTTCTTAAGACTATTTACATATATTTAAGACTCGAGACCCCAAAAATGGTGCATCTGTCCATTTAAGCTAAAAAATAAAACTTTTACATGCCAGTCTTTTGTCTTTCTGCATGAATTAAATTGTCATCCAAGCATCTTCATGCTATACTATTACAACTCTACTGCCATGTTTCAGCCATAGCAAACCTTCAAAAATCTTATTTTGTAACTTACTTAAGTTATTCTTGTATAGGATACAAAGTCGCTACGTCTGTTTCAAATTGGGCACCAATGTTCCTTGTTCTTACATTTTCCAAATGAGTGCCAAATTGGTGATATCGATTTGTGGCTTTTGATGATATACGTTCACTGTCATTCCCTTTTCTTGAAAACATCTGTAGAGCTGTAAGTTCTGGTTTGAAATTGGTTTAGAAAATCTTTTTCCGAAATACCTTCATACACATATTGAAGAGTAACCTAAAGGGCTCAATCTCTATTTCATGTGTTTTGTAAAGATTCTTCACATTTTTTTTATGTGTATCCTGAGCTCTAAAAATTGAAGTTTTGCTATGGCCAAAAGTGATATTATGAAGATGCCAAACCTACCTAATGGAAACAGTTGTGAGTACCTTGAGACCAGCTTGCTGATCCAACAGATCACAGGTCTCCAAAATTAAAAATAGACTATTCAAATAATGAACTTACTTTACTGATACCAAGTTGAGATATGAACTTCCAGATTTCTTGAGATGAAGCATAAGATCCATTTTTCTGAGCCACAGGGTCGGTTTTACCTTCACTAGCAGTAATAGCCTGAAATATCCAATGAAATTGATCATTTTACTTATACTTCCGAAAGGCAATCTGCACACAATAAGATATCTGGCCTACTTGTGTTGACTGGTAAACTCTTTGATTTTGTTTTCATAAGGCATGATAACAATATCATTTTATTGACAGTGTTTCCACTAAGAGCAAGAGCAAAAGCCATGTGTTTCCATATCATCAATTAATTGTTGATTCTAAATGTCTGTAATGAGTAGCTCCAAACTAGATTTTTCCAAGATTTTCGAAATAGTTATAGTTCTTTTAGCTATAGAAATCACTTTTCAGATTTAAAATCTGGTAAAACAGTTCCAAAGTTCAAACTATCATAACTTTTCAATATTATGAGGTCAAAGGTGATATCTGCCTGTTAATACCCCCTTGGTAATGACCAGAGTAGATTTTCTAGTTATATTCTAATTTAAATGTAGAGGGATGACTGATTTTAGTTCTGAAACTTGCTGATACGAAGGGGTTTCAGAGGTTTCAGAAAATATTCTTACCCTCTGTTGTAAATATTTTAGACATTGTTGATTTAAAACCTCTACAAATTCTGATTCAAAATCCTGATCACTATACCAAGCTCCTCCTGTAACTGATCTATCTGGCTCTAAATTATATAACATGTATACCTTCTTTTTAGATGCCTGGAAAAACAATTTCATGGTTATAAAAGTATATCAATATTTATGGGGTAGGCTAATAGTAAGTCCAGTAGGGACATAGTAACTTGCTATTTAATATCATGCCCTATCATGTGGGCCTGCCATCACTCTTTCCCATCTACTCATTCAAATTTTGCTTGTGCTCACTCTGTTGACCATTTCTCACTGCCTTGTGAAATAGTATTTGAAGGGGCATTCTGCTTTTTTGTAAAACATTTTCATTATCAAAAACACATAAATTATACCTGAAAATACTTCAAAAGTACGCTATTTATATCTATGTATCTACTTGATCAAAAAGAATTTGTTTTAAAAGGTTTAATTAAAAACTGATTGTTAATTAAGCAGTTTGACCTAGTTTCAGTGCTTGGCTTTATCATGGCTCGTTATATTTAGTTGAAATCTTTAGAAAACATAGGAGACATATTTCTCTACAATTAGTTTTTTAACAGCTTGCAAATAGCATAAAGGTTACGAAACCTTTTACGTAAAGTTTTGGCGTTCAAAAAACAATGGCTGGATTTTTTTTTTAGTTAAAACTTTCAGATACGCTATTGGATATATTTCTATAGATTTTGGTTTACAGTTTTCACAAATTCAAGCAAAAATGTTATTCGACCTACAAAAAAAGCGGAATGACCCTTTAACACAATATTTCAAATTTTCCATATACTGCAATTACATGTTCATTCCACAGTCTGGTTATATTTTCATAGCACACTCAGCTATTTTAATAATTATTAAACTAATTCCCTTTAAAATGAAAATTTTAAAGAAATTCATATACCTTCATCCTTTTTAATAGTTCATTTGGAAACTAGGCAAAGTAGAGAAAAAGTTTATAACATTAATTTTACTTTAGTGTTAGTTAAACAAATATGGCATTTTAATACATACATAAGAATACCTAATAAAAGATAACAAATATTATAACATTTATTGCCAGTTAAGAATAAACTCTGATATACTTACAGCTACAGATTTAACAGCTTTTATCAGTTTCTTACTCTCTAAATTCTTTAATATTTTATTCAGCTGGGTCATTAATAAGTTAGACTTGTATCTGATATCTCTTATCCATATACCTTGATAATAATAAAATAAATTATATACAGCCTTTCACCATGCCATGATACATTTTGCCTGGACATTAAAAGATTATGCCATGATAAATTTTTCTCAACTCGGTGTCCACGTGTTAGAGATGCAGGTCAAGGCTATGTGGAAAAAGCACCAAACCATGTCCTTCAGGATAATAAACAGCGGGTCAGTGTGCTACAGATGTTTTAAATCCTTCAACAGTTAAAATCCAAAAAGAGCAAACTAATGCAGCTGTCGTGACAAAAATGTCTTTACTGTACGACATTTCAATTCTTCACAAGCCCAATCAGTGGGATGTAAAACTCCATTTGTTATTTGAAATAGCTACCTTTATTTTCAGCTTCTTTAATGATCTGATAAACTAATTTCTCCTGATTGTCTGCCCCTTTCATTTGACTGTAAAGAAAATAACAATTCAAACACAGAAACATTTGGCACTTGAAACTTCTTGTGCCTCTCCAATAACTACACATATAGATTTTGTAGTTTTCCAGTCCAGATGCTAAGTGTGTTCACAGGTGTATTGTAAAAGATATACTTAATAAAAAGCACAAATATAAGCTTACAGACTCATAAGTCATAGATCATGTTAAAATTTCTATTATCAGATTTTCTTCTTATACCCATGTCATTTCCATTGCCCATAAATTAAAAATCATTGTACAAACCTATTAGATGATTGTCCATCTTTTAATTTGTAAATCAATTTTGTTCCACTCTTGAATATTTCTAATTTACCCTGAAATATATGTCATTTTCTAAACTTTTTGAATTGTATCGACGCACATTGCCATTTTAAACAAATTTGGCTGATTAGTTCGGTCGATCATGAATTGATCTGGTTGTATCTCATGATTTTGACTATCTTTTCAGAACACCTAATGGTATTTCTCTTTGGGGGAGTTCACTCCTATACAACTTTAACTAACGTACCGTACCAATTTAGTTATTCTGTAGACAGATTTATATTATCTATGTGCTCTGTTTTAGTTCAATTGACACTTACTGTTGAGAGAAGGCGATTTATAGCTGTTACTCTCTGTTTAACATCAAACTGTGGCATATCTTGCTTAATTATATCTTCATTAATTCCACCAGGTTTTTCATGGCAAAGATTTAAGATTCTGAAAGTATTTCAAAACATAATTACATTATAAAATTTAAGGCCCTATAAAATAAATCCTTTCAAAGATTTCTTTTAAAATATTCACTGAACAAAAATCTGATAAATGAACGAAATTGTTCATTTTAATGCAATTAAGTGTGTTCAATCTTTACACTTTCAACTGACTTAATAGAATGCACAATGCACAGTTTAAAAAAATGCACAAAAAAACAATAAAAAAAACCCACAAAAACACAAAAGTCAAAGAAACGAGAATGCTGACAGTAATGACATTGACACTTTCTCACTCTTCACTAAATTTTGACTTAGTTGTTGATATTTCTTTTATTTTCATCACCCACCTTGTTTCCAAATCAACACCTTCTATAGGCTCTTGTTTGATTTCAACGGCAGTATCAACTTCCATCTTTTGGTTCTTTAAGCTTAATTGATCTACTCCTACTTTTAACTTTGTAAATCTGAAACTGCCTTACTGAATAATTCAGCTCGTCGAACTACAACAATCCAATAATCTAAATCACTCCTTGTTCACGTTGACCATTAACCGGATATTTACGTCTGCTTTTTTGAGCCCCGAAGTAAATGTTTTACTAAGTTTGATTGGCCACAAAATTTGGAAATAACATTAAAACATTAAGAAACAAAACAAAACTAATCCTAAATTGATTTTATAAGATTGAAATTGCCCCTCGAAGTTGATGTTAATTGTATGATATTTGTTTGGTAAATTTCAAATTATGAAACTTTCATTTTTTTTCATCAGTGCGGGATCAATCATGACGATTATGGCGGAAGCCCAGGTACATTTTGTCAATATATTCATCAAATAAACGATTAATAGCTTCTTTAACATAAATATGTCTCTGTATAAATATTTCTTGACATCCAATCTTTGATATTTTTACAGGTTGAGCTCAATGAAGGTTGTAGATTGCCTGTATTATTGAAAAATGGGGATGGTTGGCGTAAGTATAATATATCGATTTTAGCGCCACCTTTCGGCAAATATTATCCATTGTTCAGAATCAAAATGCAGATTATTTCAAATATTCATAACTAGAAGAATGGTATTATATCAAAACCGTGTTTTAAGTATATACAAAGACTATATCTAAGTGAGAAAAGTGTTGAAATTTGGTGTCACGTCACTTTATAAGAAGTAGAAGCTAAATTATGATTGAAATAAGACTTCAATTACCTCCCTTGACGCACTAAAGGGGAATAATTTTAAATTTGATTTTCCTTCCTTGTTGACAAAATTAAGTTATTTATCCTAGATTTTTCTTTTTTTCTACAGATTGGGCTGAAATACTTGGTAAAAAAGATATTAATGGAAAACCACTCTATTATGTCCACTATGAAGACTGTAAGTATTAGAAGATGTAATATGCCTATCTCAAGCACACATACAGTCGAGTAACCTAATTTCGTGGAAACCTATTATTCGTGGATTTCCGGAAAGGATTAATAATTTACATGAGCGACCATGCGCGACCTCCGCATTAGTTTGTTTTAATAAACATGGGTTTTCTCTACAATATCAGCTAGTAGAATGAATCCAGTAGTTTCAAGCAAGGTAAAATGTATTAATGTATACTTTGACAAATACAAAATTTCACTTATTACCAAACGTCACCATTTTTTATCAGCCGAATTTCCTTATAATCCCTAGCCGTGATCAACTAGCCGATTCCGTGTCAGCAGAAAATTTCTATGGAACACAAAGTGGACCGTATTCTTATGTTGTTTCAGTGACTTTTATCAATAAATCACGCTACGTATCTTATTTTGTCAGTCACTATTTTTTTTTTAAATCGTGGTTCTTTGAAGGAATTGTCACTAGTTATAATGAATTGATATTAAAGATAAATACTAAGAGAAGTTAATTATACCACCGGGTATCCATACGTGTTTTTCTAGACTTATTTATAGTTCAAACATTGTACACGAAAATAGGTGACACATTCTGACGCCGTTGCCGAGTTGGTTGCTCATGAAATATGGGTCAAAGTGAAGGATTCATAAAGAAAATCGAAATAAACCAATTTTAATTATTTTGTAGAATATCTGAGGAAACATCTAAGACATAAAAATTTTTTTTTGTTTTTTTTGATTTTGACGAAATTTGGTGTTGAATCCTTATATCCACGAAAATAGGTTACACCACTGTACATTTAGATATATATTTTAAATAAAAAGATACTTATTCTTGGTTGAGTAAAATATTAGGGCTATTTAAGAGTTAATTATTGTTGTTTGTATTTCAGTTAATAAGCGATTGGATGAATGGGTACCTGAAGAACGAATGGATGTGGCGAAATGTGAACTACCCAAGAAAGATAACAAAACACCTAAAAAAGACCCTCTTAATAAGATGTCAAATGGATCTCGATCAGCTTCACCTGATAGAGAATATCTGGTTAGTATTTCTAATGAGGTATGTAGATCTGTTTGTTCAGAAGGACCAGTCATTGTTCCTTGAACTTGATTAATTGTTCATATGAAAATTTTAGGGTGCTTCAAGTGACCAATCATATTCAGTTTGTCAGTTAAGGCTTTGCCAGTTTAAGGCCTGATCTTGGAATCGTGAATGTTATTTTTTATCAAGAAAAAAAGTATACAGTAATCTAATGCATATATTAACTTTATATGGTCTCCATTTCCTAAAACTGAAAGTGAAAGTAGATCTGTTGTTGTTAAGTGTATTCATGTGATCATTTCAGGAGAGTGGCTCATCCAGTGCAATTAATGATTTTAAAAACAGTCCAGTATCATATGTTGATGAAAGCAGCTTAGATGAAATACCAAGAGCATCTGTCACTGTAAGTTTCTAATTTGCTTTCTATTCAACTCCCTTTCTTTTTTTCCATATCAATAATTCTACATACTTTCACTTGCCCTTAGTTTTAGCATATTGGATTTCTCTCATCCTACAAGAATGTGTATTATAATGGAAACACTTACGGCTTCTGTATTAAGTTTGTTTCCATGTAAATTTTGTTTATTTTTTATAGATACCTCTTCAAAATGGCTCCTTATCATTTGGTGGAATGCATAAGAAAACACAAAATTTTAAAAAGCGTAAACTTGAAGAAGACGTAAGTGTTAAAATCAGATTTTTTCTCACTGCCTTATTCAGCTTGATATTGAGTCAACCTCCCCTTTAAATATACCATATCCATACCAACAGTTTTGTGTTTGCTTTTAGTTTCAGTCTGATAGTCAAGAGAACGTACCTAAAACACCTCGTCAAACAGGCAGTATGGTGGCACATCATGATGATATTGTCACCAGAATGAAAAATATAGAATTAATAGAATTGGGTAAATGGAGAATTAAACCCTGGTATTTTTCACCCTATCCTCAGGTGAGTAGAATACACATTATAAACACACTTTAAAATCATCAAGTATCATCCAATATTACAGGTGTTCAACTGTATACTGTGATTTTGTGTATGAAAAGTTATACGCATAGCGAAAAATTAAACTTGAATATGCTTTTAATTTCATTCTGCATTTCATATGCACAAGTTTAGTACCGGTAACTATTTTTCAATACATTGTTTTGATTGTTGATGATTGACATAAACTCTTAAAGAAGAATATGGATTTGTTTGCAGTTTTATTGTAGTGATAAGCCTAATGGTTAATTTTATCTTAATTATAGGAATTAACATCAGCACCATTAGTTTTTATTTGTGAATATTGTTTGAAATATTTAAAGAGTAGCAAATGTTTACAAAGACATTTGGTAAGTATAAATACATAAGAATCAATGTCATTTCCAGTAGCTATTTCACATAATCAGTAGATTTTCAGCAGTTGTTGCTTACCCATCATGAGATAGTGCCCAAATCAATGGCCATAGAATTATCATTTTATAGTTAATTTAAACTTAATACTTAATTACCAAACAAACCAGTCATCAACACTCTATATCTGACTGTCTATCTTCTCTATTTTAGGCCAAATGTCAGTTATGTCATCCACCAGGGAATGAAATCTACAGAAAAAGTAATATATCATTCTTTGAAATAGATGGCAGGAAAAATAAGGTATGCTTACTTAACAATATTTTCAGAAAAAAGTGCTAATGATTAACTTGTGAATGGATGAATAGTACAGATTATTAAGACTTTTGATTTGTTTCAGGGACATTATCATTTCAATTGTCATAAAATATAATCCTGTAAGCAAAATGAAATGCATTACTGAATATACATGTGGGTTCATAACAACCTCTATATGTAGCAGTGTTTTAGTGTGCATTTTATATAAAAATTTATTTTATTTTTTTTTCAGGTGTATGCTCAACATTTGTGTTTATTAGCTAAATTATTTCTGGACCACAAAACATTATATTATGATACAGATCCATTCTTATTTTATGTTATGTGTCAATCAGATAGTAGGGGTTATCATATGGTCGGCTTCTTTTCTAAGGTGAGATTTCTTGTTTAAAACTGGCTTTACTAACTAATGGAAGTCAACTATTAATGTATGATGTAAATCATCCTTTTGGTCCAGAAGAAAATTATCTTGCGTTTGATACAATTTTATTATCAAAACTTTCCAAAGAGATTAATGTTGAACACAGTAATCATGAGAGGTATCGAACACAGCAGACCATGCATCAGTTTCAGATTGTCAAGTATCGAAGTGGGAAGACGCGATAGTTACAATTTTTTACTTGATTAAATTTGTTCTGAATTATATAGGTCAGTTGTCTGAAGATCGCATAGCATGAAACTCTGAGTAACAAGATGTTTTTTTAGGTTCAGTTTTCATATTTCTATATCGCTCTACAATTGTTGTATTGAGCACTATTTTAACAGTGAAAATATTTTATTACTGTAAATATCTCCTGATATATTTATTGCAGGAAAAAGAGTCAACAGAAGATTACAATGTAGCCTGTATATTAACATTACCACCCTATCAAAAGATGGGTTATGGTAAATTACTTATAGAATTTAGTGAGTTTACATCTGTCAATTCTATTTGTATTGCCTTGTTCAAATATTTTCAATTGAATTTATATGAAAATCACGTTGAACGTTTACAACACTGCTGCTGTTCTCCTATACATATAATTACATGGTATATAACTGATGATGCAGCTGTTACCAAGTGAAGTTATATGTTTTAAGTTATATTACTTGGATTTTAGAATTTATAACGTTTAAATTCCTTTACACTCAATGTTCAAAGGGTTAATGAAGGTGTCATTATGCATATATATAACTATGTGCCGTTCAGTATATGAATGCAACTGAAATGCGAATTAAATTTTACGCCTTACTCTTCTGCATGTTAAATAATACAATTGAAGGGATTGGTAATCAGCTAGTAAATGTGATATCAAAAGACAAATGTCATTTGGAAATTGCATTTTCCATTATATTGGTATTGCCTTTAATTGTGTTTTGATGTGGTTGTGTTTACATTATTTCAGGTTATCAACTGTCTAGAGTAGAAGGTAAAACAGGTTCACCAGAAAAACCTCTATCTGATTTAGGATTATTATCTTATCGTAGTTATTGGTCTCAAACTATTCTAGAAATTTTATTGAAAATGAAACCTAATGAATCAGGGGAAAGACCATGTATAACCATCAAGTAAGTCAGTTTCATTAGTTATAAAGATACTACAGATTTATTACATTGCTCACAAAGTCATTTGGCAAGATTGATTCAAAATGAAAGCTGAAACAAAATTACTGTTAGATCATTGGTTCTTTACATGACTGCAATTGGTGGGTTACTTTGAACAAATGGTGGTTGTGGGTTCTAACTTTCGATGATGTATGGAGTCAACCCAGATATAAATGAGTACGAATGATCTAAGAAAGATCAATACCAAAAGGTTTAGCTGAGGATCAGCTGATGGAAAACATGAATGTAAAACCATGAGCTTTGTTTTGGGAAACTTATATTTATCAAGCTCCCATTTGTTATTTAATGGACTGTATTGTGTTCCCTTCCTTTGAAGTTATAAGAATAAATTCTTTTGTTTCAGTGAAATCTCAGAAATAACAAGTATTAAAAAAGAAGATGTGATATCAACTTTACAACATTTAAACCTTATCAACTATTATAAAGGACAATATATTATAACCATTTCTTGTGAACAAATAGACACTCATAATCGTGCCATGGAGAGACGCATAATACGTATCGATCCTAAATGTTTACATTGGCAGCCTAAAGACTGGAGTAAACGAGGAAAATGGTGACAAGCGTAAACTTTAGGAGAAAACAATAATGTGAATATTAGTTATGTGGGTATTTGTCTGACTAGTAACTAAAAAGAAGGGGGGAGGGGCAGGCACAGTTGATAGTCGGCAAATCCCTGGTACCTAATTTATAATTAGTGTAATGAACTATAGTATAATAAATTACAGTATGTATCAGATTAAAAACCTGTGTTCAAATATCGTTCAAAGACTACTTCAATATTAAATATCTTTAAATCAAAATTCTTCTTTATTTTATACATCCGGGCTGGCTGTCTCTATCATAATTTGTATAGTGTTACCAGACAGACATATTTTGGATTATAGTGGCCACTAAAGCCAAAAGTCCTATTTAGAAATGCTCTAAATATAACTAGAAAAACCAAAAGTTTTTTGAAAACAACCACTTTATCAACAATTTACATTACATTTTCTGTATTCAGTTGAAAATATTTCTGAAAATGGCATCACAATAGTTTGAAGAGTTTGTAGTTACCAGAGGAAGGGTCTACATAAGTGTTTTTGTCTAGTACCTTTCAAAATTTGAATTTTAAATTAAACCTTTTGTACATTGATCACAAACTTCAAAATCTTTCTGAAACTCTGGAAGCCACTGTTCTCATCTGACCATAAACTTTAGATGGAGGACTTCCTGAAATGCAATACATGAAACCCATAAAAAGATAGCATACTAGGCCAGGTTACATGCACTATTGACTATTGTCTGAGAAAATTAAAAAGTTTTCGATATTGTTTAAGAGAATTGGAATATCCGCCTAAAAAAATAGTACTGATAGTCTTAGAGTGATAAAAATATGCTCTTTTGTAAGTTTACTTTGAAAAGAAACTCATTTTCCCCCCTAGAAATTTCAACCCCAAAAAGCCTCTGTAAAAGCAAATTTTGAAGACATAATGTGTGGTTATGTTTATATTTTTATCAAAGCAAAGATATTTTAAGACTAACAATACTATTTTGAGGCTGCTTTTCAAATTCTCATATAATAGAAAAAAATTCAAAAAACCTTATACTTTGCTCAGACAATAGTAGCTGAAGCATTTGACAGAACTGCAACCATCTTTTTCTAACTATGCCTCCTAAGTGCCTGTACAGTCAAACTAGTATGAATTTACAAGAATCATAAATTTCCTGAATTTAAATCATCCTTTAGATTTAAAAACTGCATCCTCATCTTCACAATGGCCAACTATTTGGCCAACAAGCTTTGTCTTTTTTGCAGTAGGATGTAAAATTCTATTCATTTTGATTCATTTTTACCTGATTGCAATAGTAACCTTTCTTGTATCACAGAAGTATGTAAATGCAGTGATTTGAATGGATTGTACGTTAGCGAATACATTCAATGAGAGCTCTCGACAGAAAGTCAATAAACAAAAAGCCATAATGTTGACAATCTTTATGTTGAGGGCTCTGATTGGCTGTATTCCCTGGCATACAATCCAGCAAATCGCTGCATTCCACAGCAAAGAATGATGACTATTCTAGTCCAGGTAAAAGAAGAAGTAATAGCTTGACATTGTGAAGATCTACATCTTATAACAGCATCAGTGCTATTAAAATATATTTACACTGTTGAAATAGTGCTCAATACATCAATTGAAATATCAAAAGTGCAATCTTCAAAGAGTTTTACAACTGTTATCTGATGAACGTACAGAATGAAACTAAATAACAACATGTTTCAGGTTCTGTTTTAATAGTTTAAATTAACAGCATTAAGAAACATGATCTATTCTTACAAATCAAAAAATCAACTTACCTAAGATCAAGTTACATATAGCTGTTCTAGCCATGTTGATATTTTGAAATGATCCTAATATATGAACTTTACTGAAAATTAAACAACACAAATCAGTATATTCTATTTAAATCATAATATTTGCCTTATCATTTCAATATTTTTAAGTTACTTTCCTTTCTTTATACTTTACTTGTATAATAAATGTACTAAAATTGACATTCAATTTGTTTACAATTAAATAGAAACAAAATTGAATTCTGTCTACAATTTCTAAAATCAAAAGTTAATCCTAAACTGTTTAGTCCAGGCATCTCTGAAAAAAGGGGCCCAACTCAAAAAAAATTGCAACAGAAAGTCTGTCAACTGTTTAATGATGTAACCATGTACAATTTCTTATTTGAACGTTATATAGGTTGCTGGGAGAAGATAGAATTGATATCTTTCAGCCAAAAAGAAAATTTATGGCTACATCCTTAGTAACTTACCTAGCAGCTAAAATAATTCTAGTTTTGGTAACATTTTCTATTGTGAATCTAGTTTTACCATTATGTCCTGCTATTCTACCAATAGCTCTAGATAAATGATTTCCTTTTAATGGTTTGACTGAAAATATACAAATTTCAGATTTAAAACAGAACTACCTTCAAATAGACCCTAAAGAAGAAATAGAACTTTTTATTTATTTCGTTCACAAGCTTATTTTCACTCTGTAATTAGGGTTATCCGAAAACTGAACATTTTTTTGATATATTCTTTGACACCAAAGCGGAACAATTCTCATTTTTGAAACCAAGGTACGATTTTCTCCCAGAAATGGTGAACCTGTCCCTATATAGAATTCTGCATGGCAGGTAAAGCAAAAAAAAAATCGAAAGTGCTTACCATCTGTCACATCAAATGTTTCTAAATATAACTCATCTAATCTCACTAGAGCTAGGGAATCCTGAAATATTTAAAATTTAGTTTTATATTGTGTCAAATGGATATAGTCATTTCTATAAGACTAAAATCTGCAGAAGAAGCACCAACAAGGCACATCTGACTGCTGGTATGAGTATCGAAATTTCATTGAGAGTACATGTACTAATGTGCTAATTAACTGACAAAGAATTATCTAAAATTAAGTCTTTCTTACCAAAGTAGAATACTTGGGTCAAGAATTCATAGCTTCAACTTTATTGCAATTGTTCTATGCATACAGAAGTATTCAAGTTATACAGTTATATATATGATATGGTATTTGTCAGGGTAGAATTTTATCATACTGTAACTTTTTACAAACAAAGGTCCAACACTGATCAAATCCTCCAACATTATTTACTCACCTCAACTTCAAAACCATAAACAAATGCCTGAACAAAATCTGCTGCTTTCTGTAGAGCCCTAATATCTGTTGTTGCTTTACATGTCTGCAAGAGAATATGAATTTATTAGCACATCTCTTAGATGTGGGTTCAAATTCAGGAGATACCCACCAAGTTAAAGGGACAGGTTTCAAATTCACACTTCCAGCCTTTCTGATTTACCTGAATACAAAAATCCTGTTTTTGCGATTGGTCTAACAGATTTGCATCCTTAAGAGCTTTATTTTAAAAACATTTTGCATCACTTTGATGGCCTATATACCAATCACATTAAAGCATCAAATAAAAGAACTGACCTTAATTTCAACATTTCTGGTTTTTAAATTAAATCGTATTTGTAAATGAAGATGTTCTACTATCGGTGTGAATATTTTCAACCAATTTTTCTTTAATGGTGTGTATCTATTACTTGGTATTGGGATTTTTCTTAATTCTGACTTGCCACTCTGAAATATAAAGAAACTCCAATACGATACTGGTAGTGGAATTTAGAATGAAGAAATTTGCTCTGAGAAATTAAGCTATTATATTTAAGTAATATACTGGTACTCTAAGTTAATTGGACTTTTCACTTTAAACTTTTGTGTGACTAAAACACTTCTTGATATCTATAGTGAGATCTAACTGCATCAAAAGTATGCCTTAAGATTCAGAGAATTGGAAGTGCTGTAAAGGAATACACTATTGTTATGGCAGTCTACTACATAAAACAGCAAATAGGTGTACTCTACCGTTACAATAGACAATCTATTTCAAGCTATACCGGAACACTAACAGGAAGGTAAGAAGTTCAGGTAATGACTTGTTAGATAGATAGCCATAGGTCTTTGTTAGATTTCGGGGAAGGGAGGGTTTGATTCTCTATTGTATAAAACAAAACGTTTGGGTAAACTGTCTGATAGAAAAATAAGTTAAATTTGATAAGGCATATGAAGATAAATTAACAAACCGATTTTTCAGCTGTCACGGCTGGGAAGTTTGGTCTCTTAATTTCAGGCTCTGAGGTGTCCATTTTCGTTTCTGACTTGTCTTGAAGCTTCCTTTTCCTACTTTTTGTTTTCGCTGTGACAAAACCAGACTCTTCTGCAAGTTCTGGTTCCATTTTAGTTGTTCCTTCGATATTTGTGGCTGCCATTTTCACGTGTTGTATTGCAAAGGAAGTTGACAAATTTTGTAAATATTAGCGTAAAATGAAATTATGGATTTTGATCATAAAAAAAGGTATCTCTATATGCATAAAAAGTATGATCACGGGCATTAAAAAGTAAAGGTGTCTTTTAGCTTTATAATAAATAACTGAAAACAGCTTTCGAATCAGATGTTATGCTTGTGAATTTGAGAAACTATTAGATAGTTTTTGATGAAAATTGATGTTTTATGCGACACCTGCTACAAGCGCATGCGTAAACGACAGCCAATTTCTTTTCCGCTCAATGGTTTCCCTTACGCTATTTTATGGTTAAGGTATTAAATTTTGAACAAAAATCAAACCTTTAAACAATTATTCTTTATAAGGAAGAGCTGGCGTGAATGAATTGACCATTGGCGTAACGGTTAAATTTTGTTAGTTGACCGATTTTATTGTGATTAGTCAGAGACGTTATATTTATCCGATCTTCAACAAGGCCTAAACACTGACAATTAAAAAAATTGGTACTAAGAATTTGATCTAGCTTTAGGACTAGCCTATATTTAAAATGGAGACCACACCAGATGGGAAAACCAAAATGCCAAAAGTGGCGAAAGTTAAGAATAAGATGCCTGCTCCTGTACAGATCACAGCTGAACAGTTGCTACGTGAAGCAAAAGAAAGAGAATTGGAATTGGTACCGCCACCACCAAAACAGAAAATATCAGATCCAGAAGAATTGGCAGCTTATCGTATGCGTAAACGAAAGGCGTTTGAAGACAATATTCGTAAGAATAGAAGTTGGATGACAAATTGGATAAAGTATGCACAATGGGAAGAAAGTCAAAAAGAATATCAAAGAGCAAGGTCCATCTGGGAAAGAGCTCTTGATGTTGATCACAGAAACATTACAGTATGGCTTAAATATGCTGAAATGGAAATGAGAGCCAGACAAATTAACCATGCCAGAAATATTTGGGATCGTGCTGTCACCATTTTACCCAGAGCCAATCAGTTTTGGTATAAGTACACATATATGGAGGAGATGTTAGAGAATATAGCTGGATGTAGACAGGTTTTTGAGCGATGGATGGAATGGGAACCAGAAGAACAAGCCTGGCATGCTTACATTAACATGGAACTGCGATATAAAGAATTAGACAGAGCTAGATCCATTTACGAGCGCTTTGTTATTGTACATCCAGAGGTCAAGAACTGGATAAAATATGCCAAATTTGAAGAAAAGAACTCATACATCAGTAGTTCAAGAAGAATTTATGAAAGAGCTGTTGAATTCTTTGGTGAAGATAACATGGATGAAAAGTTACTGATTGCCTTTGCTAGATTTGAAGAAGGTCAAAAAGAACATGACAGGGCAAGAGTTATTTATAAATATGCCTTGGATCATTTACCAAAAGATTTGTGTCAAGAAATTTATAAACAGTACACAATCCATGAAAAGAAATTTGGTAGCCGTGCTGCCATCGAAGATGTAATTGTCAGTAAAAGAAGATACCAATATGAAGAAGAAATTAAAACTAATCCAAATAACTATGATGCCTGGTTTGATTATTTACGACTGCTTGAAGCTGATGGAAACACTGACCAAATAGAAGAGACGTATGAACGTGCTATTGCTAATATACCACCTTCACAAGTGAAAAGACATTGGAGACGATACATATATTTGTGGATAAATTATGCCCTGTTTGAAGAACTAGAGGCAGAAAACATGGAGAAAACTCGCGAAGTGTACAAAGCCTGTCTAGATATCATACCTCATAAAGCATTCACATTTGCCAAACTTTGGCTCCTATTCGCTCAGTTTGAAATCAGACAAAAAAATTTAAATGTTGCTCGCAGAATTTTAGGCACTGCCATTGGCAAATGTCCTAAAAATAAATTATTTCGGGGCTACATTGAATTAGAATTGCAGTTGCGAGAGTTTGACAGATGTAGAATTCTTTATGAGAAGTACTTAGAATTTTTGCCTGAAAATTGTACTGTTTGGATCAAATATGCAGAATTAGAAACCATTCTTGGAGACAGTGAGAGAACGAGAGCTATCTATGAACTTGCTATAAATCAGACCAAATTAGACATGCCAGAGGTTTTATGGAAAGCTTACATTGACTTTGAAATAGATCAAGAGGAATTCGAAAAAACTAGAGATCTTTATCGAAGATTATTGGAAAGAACTCAACATGTGAAAGTGTGGTTAAGTTTTGCTCAGTTTGAAAAAGGGACAAATGAGGAACATGCTATTGACAATGCTAGGGATGTGTTTAAGCAGGCAAACAAAGCCTTAAAAACAACAGATGATAAGGAACAGAGGTTGATGTTATTAGAATCATGGCAAGCATTTGAAATTGAAACTGGTGATGAGTCTGCTATTGAAGCTATTAATAAGATGATGCCTCAAAAGGTGAAGAAAAGGCGAAAAATTCAAACTGAAGATGGTACTGAAGCTGGTTGGGAAGAATATTATGATTATATTTTCCCTGATGAAGAATCTGCTAAACCTAATCTCAAATTATTGGCTCTTGCTAAAAAATGGAAAGAAACCCAAGATTAAATATTCAAATCTTTTACATTTTGTACAGATTGTTATGTTTATAAACAAATTGAATGAATTTTACTTTTATATTAACCCAAAATTGAAATGGGTGTACATCTTTAGTCGTTATCCCTGTCTATCGGTCCATCCACTAAATTTGCTGCTCTCTGAACATAAATGGCATCAATCTTATCTTATACATGTATATATCTACACTACAGGCTTAAATTTGCCCTGTGTCTATTTTTTCAATGATAATGTCCTTTAATTTTGTTTTAAACTCCTGCACCACACTACACTGGTACACAAACTATCCCAAAAAACTTGGGTTAACCAATAAAGTCTGGAGTTGGAAATTGTAAAGGAGCAGGCGGTGCTCGTCTTCATTAGCCCACATGGTGCAGAAAAGTAGGGCTCAATACTGACATAGGTCAATTTTTCAACTTGGTTTCCCAATGTCGGTGATACATGTCAGGGGCTGACATGAAAACCGAGGCCCTGTGTAATACAGGCTGTGCACATTAAGGACCCTTCCACAGTTGGAAATTGAGAAAATGTAGGTTAATGCCACTTTCCTGACAAAATTTCCCTCGTTGTCCACTGCATGGAATTGCTCATCTTCGGTTGCCCAATCAGGTGCAGAAAAGTAGGACATAAAACTCCATTCATTTCATTTTCAAAATTTGTTTTCAATTTGATATAGCCTACATTTTATGATGTTTTGGTTCACTGCTTCTGGGTTGATATGTTTGACTAGTGTAATGTGTTGTATGCAAGCCCTTATGAATGAATGATACTAGGCATAATTTCCTTATATACTGCATTCATATTTAACACAACAAAAAATATGGTTTTGTCATATTTTATACATTTTTTCCCCAAAATATGTATTTAAATGTCCAATGGATTTCATTTTTCAAAAATTTTCTGGGGGGAAGAATTCTCTCAGCAACACCTTGGGAGTCTGCCCATTTAAGTACATGCCGCCTCTATTTTCAGGACAAATTTTCCATTAATTTTTATTTTTCAGGAACTAGAGCTATGTCAATTCTAGTTACTTGTCGAAGGTTGGCTTTAACAGTCAGAAGAGTATCGTTGAAAACACAATTACCAATAAAAATATCTAAACTCTATCCATCTATTCAATATGCGATTCATCTGAAGAACTATTCACAGTCAAGGAAATCTGCGACAGAAACGCCTGAAATGGTTTTGAGAGCATCACCTATGTGGATGGAACAATTAAATAAATCAGAAATAGATTTTCAAATTCTGCCTGATTTGTGTGAAAGTATTTTAAAACAAGACCAAGAAGTATTGACAGTTAATGTAGGAAAATTATGGCAATCTATTTGTGCCAGATATATTCATAATGAAAAAAAGGTGGATCAAGCAATCAAAATGTTCAGTTACCTACAAACACTTAATCCTAATGATATACAACCTGCAGTGTATGCAATATTGATGGGATCCTTTCGTGGAACAGGTAAACAATATGAACAAGTTATCCTAAATATTTGGGAGAAATTAAAAGACTTTTCAGACATATTTCCGTCAATACTTCTTCCATATATAACACAAGGATTGTGTGAAACTACCAGATGGAAAGAGGCATTAGATATTATTGAGATGGAAAAAGAACAAACCAACTTTGCCAGTATAAATATGTGGAAACCAATTTTAATTAAGGCAGTTAAAGAAGGAGATGCAGAAATAGCTAGTTTTCTATTGAATGGTATAACTATTTCTATCAATTTGGGATTGAGATTTCAAATAACTGGTTTGGTTCAGGAACTGTTTCAATTAGTAACAGATGAGCAAGTTGAGTTCAACATGAAAGATTTTTGTGACATATTGGAGATTATGAGACATCAACCTGACCAATCTATAGCAAAAGATATAATGCAATATTTCAAGTAAGTAGACCTTCCAGGGTAACCCCTCAACAAATATATTAAAATATAATTGTGCAAATAGACATTCTTTACATATATCTCTACCATTTGAAGTAATAAAAATGCTATATTACTTATATATACACACTGCTTTATGGAACAACAATCACTGGTTAAAGCTTTCTTAATAATAAGCATTAATGTATATAAAATTTGCCCACCACTTTTTATCATTATGTGCCTGAGGACGACAGGGGGAAATACGTCGAAACATTGCATAAAACTTAAACCAGTGATTGTTGTTCCATAAAGCTGTGTGTAAATATCGTACTCACAATTGCTAAATGTTATTTAAAGACGCTATATTACTTACATGGGCTCCCAAAAGGGACAAACCTGCTGCCAAGCTGACAAACCTAGCTGCAAGTTGATATCATTTGCTGAAAGTAAAACATTTTACTAATTTTTCATTAATAGTTATTGCATCAACAAATCCCATTCCTGAGAACTAGGTTGAAAAAATCCTGTCACAGGATGATATCAGGTGTTGCAAAAAAGTTAAAGTTCCTAGTAGAAAGCTATAGTGCATTTTTCCAGTTCCCTTTTACAATCTAATATTCACAAAGTAATATTGAACACATAAAAAATCATTTGGTTTCTATTTATAGTGAAGAAATGTGGCAATGTCGATCAACTTTTTTAAGAAAAAGGTACAGTTTATACTTTTTTTCGTTAAAACAAATTCATATTGATGATATTATTTAATTAAAGGGAACACTGATATCATTAATTTGCAACATTTCAATTTTTTATCAGACGTCTGTGGTTCCTGCAATTCTACTAAAACTAAGTGTTTGATGATGTCACTAATTGCGAAGGACCGTATTCGATAAAGAATATGTTGCGATTGGTGATCACCTAACACTTAGTTTTAGTGAAATTGCAGGAACCACAGACATCTGATTGAAAATTGGAATGGTGCAAATTGAAAATTGGAATGGTGCAAATTGATGCTATCAGTAAACCCGATACACATAAAAAATTTAGAAAACCACTTTACTATCCCTTTAAATGGAACATGGAATATAAGATTGCATTTCAATCCTGTAGCTTCGTATCACGAATACAGGTTTTGTCATGGTCTTATTAATGAGGAAGTATGACAAATGGGGGTGTAGTTTGGTAATGGTCCTGTAGTCATGTGAGACACTTTCATACTTCATGATCATCATGCGCCGTTGACAAAAACATGACCACATAGCAATACTTTTTGTTTTCAACCGATAACAATATATCTTTTTATTTATTCTATAGACAGTATTGTATTTCTTGTGGACACAAATTGCCTGCTGTAAGCATAACTGAAGCTGAAATGGAAGGACTAAATGATCAGATATTAAACAAACTTATACTAAAATCAGATGTGTATTTAAATACCAATCCAGATGAAGTTAAACGTTTTTTAAAAATGGTAGAAACAGAAGGTCCATTTGATGTTGTGCTTGATGGCTGCAATGTAGGAATTGGAAATTGTAGAGGAGGAACGGTATGTAATCTTTCTTAAGGAATAATAAAAATCTTTATTTAGTTCATTTAAACACAAATTTGTTTAGAATAAAGCTATATATTTTTGCTCATTCTAGCTGAAGGCAAACCAAAAACAGGGTTCAATTTAAGCGGTATGGCATCGCAATTGACCCCTTTTGCGATTGAATATTTCCTATGATTAGCCAAAATTAAACAAAAATCACGACAATCTGTCAATCAAATCAATTTGTATATTTAAAATTACTATTAGAACATTCTAAATTCCTACCTAATCTTTAAGAAATGGAAATCAAAATTGAACTTGATTAGCCTAAACTTAAATTCAGTGTTAATCAAATTTTCAATCTAAATTGAACCCTGCATCACTCATTTAATTTTTGACAGATTGAGATTAAATAAAATAACTAAAAGTAAACTAATTCTGGTTTTTCCCCATATACCTGTCATACATCAAATGGATTCTAAGGTTATCATGTAACTTTGATAACATTTGTATCATAAATGATGAGACCTGTTTTGGGTCTTTCCTTATTGTCATTGTCATACTGTCTCCATCTTTTGGGGGAGTTCTGTTGCAGTTATCAGTCATTTGAAGCATTTGAAACTTTACATAATCATTTGCTTGGTTAAGTCAAACAAATCTCAGTCAGCATGTTGATGTGTGTTGGCCTTGAATATGTGATCTTTCCTCATTATTCCAGCTGTAAATGAGTATGGATAATAGAGGAAAGATCAATGCCAAGATATTACGCTAAGGACCAGCTCTAAGGACCAGCTGGTCGAATGAATTCTCCTAGTATCCCAGTTAAAATACCTGTTTCTTTCTTTTGTTGTTTAATGGGTCAACAAATGCAAAAGACATCTATGTCATTTGTGTATTTACAAATCTTCACCTTATCGTTTTAATAGATACTGCTAGCTGTTGAATACTTCAAGAAAGAAAAAGCAAAGAAAATATTAGTAATTGGTAGAGATCATATGAAGAATTGGAAATTCATGAATAAAGTTAAAGAAAATGCCATTTTTTTCCCGGTGAATAATATGTAAGTGTTATTTTGACCAAGGTTGTTTGACATGAAATGAATGGAGTTTTGAATCTAATTGGGCTAATGATGATGGGCCGGGGCATGCAGGAAATTTGGTGACCTATACTAGGATTGAATCCTGGATCTTTAGGTTAGCGAGCAAGCCTCTAACTCACAGAGCCATGGCTTTTTCTCAATTTGTAACATATCTTCTGTTCTTGTACATGTGTCATATCTAAATAGCTCTGAAAAAATGTATGCATATCAGAGATACTGAATGCATCACTTGGCACCATTCCAATTTTCAAACAAACGTCTGTGGTTTCTGCAATTCCACAAAAACTAAGTGTTTGATGACATCACTAATCGCAAAATATGCTTCATGATAAAGACCATCAAACACTTAGTTTTAGTGGAATTTCTAGAACCACAGACGTCTGATTGAAAATTCAAATGGTGTAAATTGATGCTATCAGTGTCCCGGATACACATACAAAATTTAGAAAACCTCTTTCAAATACCTTTAATGTTAATGTGGTACAGGTAGTTTCCTTTTACATAACAGTCTTTGTACTTTTATACTTCAGATCAAAAGATGATCCATTTATTTTGTATGCAGCAAGCCGAAGTCCCAACACCTATTTTGTGTCTCATGATAACTATAGTAACCAAGTACATGGTGATATAGATAGAGAATATTACCCCATTTTTTGCAAGTGGTTATTTCATCGACAAATCAAACATTTTTTATTCTCAAACCAAACAATCAATGTATTGGTATGTAACCCAATTTGTTTACATTACTATAGACAACAAATGATTATATATTCACATTTCTCATCTTCACAATATCAAACTATTACAAACTGGGACTTATATCTTAACTACAAAGCAACCTTTTTTATTTCACAGAAGTTTGTTAATGCAGTGTAGTGGTTGGATTGTACATTTACGAATACAGCTAATCAGAATCTCCGAAAGAAAGTCTGTAAGCTGTATTTGCTGGCATACAATCCAATAAAATACTGTATTCCATGATACAAGAAAGGTGACTATTACAGTCAAAGTTGACAAAGTGCGTAATAGCTTGATATTGTGAAGATGTACAGATCTGTATATTTCAGCAGCAAGTTTATACATTGTTGTCCATAAAAGTTATGACTTTTCTTTAAAAGGACTTAATGCAAAAATCGATTTGATCAAATCACAAAGTCAAATGCTCCAATATACAAGCAATATTTAAGTCATTGTTGAAATAAACAATAAAATTTGCAATTTCTAACTAGGATTTTTTTTTAGCCCACATGGTGCAGAAAAGTAGGACATAAAACTCCATCTATTTCATTTATTTCATTTGATCATTGTTAAAATTTAATTTTTCAGCAATATTTTACACGATAGTTTTGGTAAATTGCTGCGTAATTATTTTAATGGCAAACATGAATTGTTAATCATAAACATTGTTAATCATAAACATAAACATTGTTAATCATAAACATTGTTTACTAATTGCTAACTATTGATCAACAATTTGGGAATCTCAATTGTACAACATTTTCTGCTGTGTTGGAAAATTTTTGTGAGCACTCACTCATTAATTTATATGTACTGTTTTAGTATCCACAAGAAACAGATGTAGTACCATCTTATAACAACCAAATGTACCATATACCATGTATGAATGATGACAAAATCTTCTGGTTATGTGCTAAAAAGAACTGGTGAAGAAAGCTGTGAACTATAACTTCCATTGGTGAGGTTTTGATCACAGAAGGGTTGCTGAAAATAAAAAAAAAAGGATAATATATTCTTATCAGGAGGTCAAGGATGAGTTCAAATATGCAGATATTTTGATGGATTATATCATAGTTACTTCCCATACTTGTTTGACCAGAAATTGATAAGAGATCCTTGCTTAAGACTTTTTATTACCACTTGATGAGACAGATGCACCGATTTGGGAGGTTGATTTGAGTCTTGAACATATGTAAATAGTCTTCAGAAGTACTAGAAATGTACAAAAATGGCATAATTCCTTCAAAAATATCTAAATCTAGGAATATCTTTTCATAGTTCTCTAGATATTTTCTATATATGGCAGTGTCTCAAAAAAAAGAGGACATGTTTGTTTAACTTTTAAACCTAGATAATTCTGGACACACATAGATTTGGAGGCTCAAATTTCAATGGTGGTCTGTGAATATTATTACTGATTTCCGGTTTCTGAGACTAATGTATGATTTGTCAAAAAAATGTTGCATCTGTCCCTTTAATTTTCTTCTACAATGAATATTAATTGAAATCAAACCTTCTGTATCAGACATATGGTGTGTTGATGTCTCCACCATATGTTATTATCACATATTGAAGTTAAACAATATATCTTCATTTTACAAGTGTCAGATGTGACTTAATAATAACTCTCATATTGACTTTCATTTCAAAATAATAAATGGAAATTGGTATTTTTGTCTACATGTGTTAAGTAAAGTATACTTATATATGTATTTAATTATAGATGTATAAAAACAGAACCTGAAACAGATTTCTTCTCAGATTTTTTTAATTATATACTTTTGAAAGGCATGTCAAAAAGACTTTTGAAAGGCGTCCTCCAACAGAAGTTTGAAAGTCATCTCCGAAAGACTTTTGAAAGGCATCTCAAACAGATTTGTCAAAGGCATCTCAAACAGACTATTGAAAGGCATCTCAAACAGACTTTTGAAAGGCATCTCAAACAGACTTGTCAAAGGCATCTCAAACAGACTTTTGAAAGGCATATCAAACAGACTTTTAAGAGGCATTTCAAACAAACCCATAAAGGCATCTCAAACACACTTTTGAAAGTCATTTCAAACAAACCCATAAAGGCATCTCAAACACACTTTTGAAAGTCATCTTGGACTTTTGGAAGGCTCCTCCAACAGACGTTTGAAAGGCATCTCAAACAGATTTGTGAAAGGCATCTCAAAGACTTGTCAAAGGCATCTCAAACAGACTTGTCAAAGGCATCTCAAACAGACTATTGAAAGGCATTTCCAACAGACATATGAAAAGCCCCTCAAACAGACTTTTAAAGGTCATTTTAAACAGACTTGTGAAAGGCATCTCAAACTGACTTATGAAAGGCATCTCAAACCTTGGTAATGTTTTATTTAACAAAATAATGAACCCATGTGTATAAAATATAAATATTGAAATAAATACAATCAGTGAGAGATTATATGAGATTCAAAAACAATGTAATATATATTGATCTCTAACACATCTATTAGACTTAAATACAAATAATATTACTAGGATTTCTTAAAAAAATATGATATAAGGGACATATTTGTTTGAGTTTTTATCATTTACCCATATCTCTTTTCAGAAAGAATTCAAAATATTGGTGTTTATGCAATGATGTAAAATATTCATTAAATGCAAAAATTAGTTGCAGACAAACCAGATTCTCAAAAATATTACTGATAGCATGAGTAGCTGAATTTAGGGCTGAATGATATACCAGTATCACGATTAATACTGGGTTCAAAATTTGTATCGTTAGTAATTCCAACTAATTAGAAAATACCCAAATAGGGGGCATAGGGGCATTCCGTTTTTTTTGTATATCACTTTTATTATCGTAAATTATGTAAATTATACCTGAAAATATTTCTAAAGTATGCTATTTATATCTATGTATCTACTTGATCAAACTGAATTTGTTTTAAAAGGTTTAATTAAAAACTGATTGTTAATTAAGCAGTTTGACCTAGTTTCAGTGGTTGGCTTTATCATGGCTCGTTATAATTAGTCGAAATCTTTGGAAAAGGTAGGAGACATATTACTCTACAATTAGGCATTTATTATACTCAAATCTGTATAGTAGATTTCTAACAGCTTCCAAAACGCATAACAAACTTGTAAAGTTTTGGCATTAAAAAATTAACGGATGGATTTTTTTAGTTAAAACTTTCAGATACTTTTGGTTTAGAGTTTTCACAAATTTGAGCAAAAAAAAAATTTCAACCTACAAAAAAAAACTGAAGGTTCCTTTAAGTAGCTTAATATTTAAAACAGATATTATAAAAACCATACTTTAGAAATATCGTGATATATATATAAATGCTTTATAGCGTGATGACCACTTGAACCAATATCGCCCATCCCTAGCTGAATTGGAGATTAATATGCTGGAAATACAGAGAATGGATCAAAATAATGATGCTTAAAAACAGATTTTGTTGTCAAAACAATTTGCTGTCATGTAAGCAACAAACCCAAAATAGAAATTATTGACATAAGAGTGAATGGATGTTTAACTGACAACTTTGAAATGCTTTCTTCAAGTAGACTGAAATTATAATCATTATGAAAAAGCGCTCAAATGGAACTTGACATTCATCTTGTTAGTATATATATAAACTCATACCAATTATCATTCAATACATTGAAAATATTTGATCCCAAAGCTTTTATGCCCAAGCAGGTATACATGCTTGCTATTAATATACATTTACTTACATAAATATTATATATCCTCAAAAGGCATCTACGTACTAACATTTAAGGGATTGAAAAGAGGTTCTCTACATTTTCATGTGTATCGGAGACACTGATAGCATCAATTTGCACCATTCCAATTTTCAATCAGATGTCTGTGGATCCAGTTCCACTAAAACTAAATGTTTGATGACATCACTAATCGTGAAGGGCCTTAAGTTATGTGATAAAGCAAATTTAGAAAACCACAGACTGAAAATTTGAATGGTGCAAATTGTAGCTATCAGTGTCCCAGATACACATAACAAAAAAAATTTGAAAACCTTTTTACCATCCCTTAAAGAATCACTGGGTGTTTTAAAGACATAATAACAATCACTTTTTCTTAAAACATTTTTCAAAAAATTTGCCTTTAAGGCTAAGTCTATTGGGTGTCAGAGATTTGACTTTAACAAATAATTCTACCAAGTGTAATGTTTGTTCTAAAATGGTGTAATCCTACAATTGTTCTGTGTAAATGTGAAGATTTTCTACAGAAGTACAGTTGTTCATTCACTTCATGTATCAGTTCATAAAAATACATAAGAAACATTCTGTAAATAGCAAATTACATCAAAGAGTTACATAAATGGACAGATCATGGATCCATTAAAAAAGCCAAAGAACATTCTTATCTAGCTTATACAGCTACACAATTTTCCTTGTTTTTAATTTTATTAAATCCTTTTACAATACACATTTCCTAATTCACTCCTAACAATCACTGAACATTTAAAGGGTTTGTAAAGAGGCTTTCCAAATATTATTATGTGTATCGGGGGACACTGATAGCATCATTTTGCACCATTCAACTTTTCAATCAGACGTCTGTGGTTCCTGCAATTCCACTAAAAGTAACTATTTAATGAAGTCTCACTTAGTTTAAGTGAAATGGTAAGAACCACAGACATCTGTTTGAAAATTGATATGATGCTATCAGTGTCCCAGATATACATGTTAGATGTTAAAAATATTTAAAAACCTCTTCACAATCTCTTATATATCTCATATATAACAGTCAAGTTCTTCTCCTTAAAAATCCAATCTTATTGACCAAAATGTAGAAATGAATCCACTTTATCTGAATGTTAACATGAAAATAAACATTAATATTCCATTTATTCAATGAATATGAATCTAATAGGTCGAGAAGTAAACGCCTTAATTAATAAAGTATCAGAAAAATTGTGTTGCTGTATCAAGGGCTAGATGTACAATGACTCATACTGCTTTGATAGATCAAGATAGGATACTAAATAAAAAGGTCAATATGTTATTGGATGCCAAGTTTATATTTACACTTTTGTTGGATTTGCTTGTTGTCTTTGTTTTAATGCCCTCTTTCTTTGATTGGCATAAATTCGCAAATATAAGGCACTGAAAACGACAAATATTCCCAATAATCCTGTCAATGTGACAGGATGTCTGTAGATCAAACATGATAACAAAATGGCAAATCCCTGTCGCATTGTCATAATTATAACAAATGTCACAGCACCAAAGGATGAAATTGTATGGAAAATGAACAGTTGTCCAGTTGCAGAACAAATACTTAATATAACAGCATGAAAAACAAAGTCTGGATGTCGGAACATAAAAGCAGACGCACTGAAGAATCCGCCTTGTTCTATTAGAGACAGTGATGTGAGAATACAGGAAAACAAGTTCACGCCTGCCATCATTTGTATAGAAGACATTTTGTATTTTGAGAATAATTCACCTTGCCAGTTGGATGTAAAACTGTCAAATAACATGTAACCAATTAGAAGTATGACACCTGATACAGTAGTTACCTTGCTACTAGGTTTTGATGAGTCAGAATTTGTGAGTAAAAACAAACTGACACCTACAGAGATCATAAGAGCAGTAATGTATTCATAATATTCGTAAGTTTTCTTTGAAACTACTTTTCCCATAAGCATCACTGGTATAACTTTAGAGGCCTTGGCTAACACTTGGGTAGGAAAACTCACAAATTTCAGGGCTTCATATTGAAACCAACTGCTCATGATGTTAGACATAGAACAGTAGGAATATTTATATAATGGTGCAGTATGTCTGGGCTGACGTCTCAATAATAACACAATGCCAGAAATAGCTAAGGCTAAAATTCGATTGACGAACACGAGAAACTGTGAATTTGTGAAAAGTTCCCCTTTATCGGTAGCAGTTTCGCCATACTGGTGTTTCATGATCCTTTCTTGAAGCACACCCCAAGTTAAATAAGAACCTTGTAAACCAACAAAACAGAACAATAAATTAAATCCTCTATTATAATTAGCTGGCTCATCTGTCACTGTTTTTTTAATTCCTTCATCCACAATGATTTGATCATTTTCTTTTCCAAAAACACATAATTTAATAAAATTTGAGAAACAACCAGAACCTTAAAATAGAAAGGAAAATAAAATATAATATTCTTATAAATGAAAATACATTTATTTGTTTCCAAATAGTAGTGATAGAGTTAAAAATTTGTATTAAGAAAGAAAAACAATGGATTTTATAAACAGAAATTTAAAGTTTTCTAAAGAGGTTATTCAGATGAAATGTCAAGACTTAAGTGAACAGGGAATTGAAATTGTGAGAAGTGAAGCCATAAGTATCCTACATGCACAATTCAGCTCATAAAAAATATCTAGATCTAAAGGCATCCAGTTATAGAGCTGAACTTCTTAACTGCCTCATGACATTTCTATTGAATTGAATTAAAGATGGGTTTCCTTATTTTTTGTAATGTCAAATTAAGCAAACTATTTGATTAATTGGTGTTTCTAATGAATTATCATGTATTCTTAATCATATCATTATGTTCTTATTGCATATAATTAAAAGTTTTAACCAATCATAAATGTCCATGTATGCACAGTCCGGATAAACAAAAAAAATACTTTTTGACATTTCTTTATTGGTCACTCTTTGGAATTCTGCTGGTAATTCTCTTCTAATTTAGCTAATTATGAATTAATCATGTACCTGTGAGACAAACTGGTATTTTTCCAAGTCATTAGAACATCTCTACTTTCTATTCATATATGTATTAGCATTTTAAAAATAAGGGAACCCATCTTTTAAGACTTGGACAGGTACAGGTGAGATTGAGCGTAATAACATTCAACAGAAATATCATTTACCTGTTCTATCATTGTAATTAATCCCTCGTAAATATTTGATTAAAAAATATCCAGGTACAAAAAACGTTCCATATCCCAGTATATTGATACATAATCTTGCTGGCCAGAAATCCATTATACCGGCAAACATCTTATTGTTCTCATCTCCACCCTCCTCACTACCAATAATATATGGAAACAGCCCTAACAAAATTGTTACAATACCAATTGCCATCATGCTGAAAAAATAAATCAAATATTTTCAAATCAGAAAATTCAAGCAAAACCCTGTGGAGTAGTTTTCTCTAAATATTGAAGGAAATTTCAAGATTTTTAACTCAGTACTATTACCAGTACTTACCTTTCTCTTTTATTCATTAGTCTAATTAAATATATTGTAGCATAAGATAAGCTCTAGTCAATTAATCTTACATAATTGAATTGTTTATGAAAATATTTGTCTTAGCCCCTTTTTGGGTGATACTCTGAGGCATACCGTTAACCTATAAACTGGTTTTAGGCAATTTATTTCTATAGTATTAAATCTTTGCATTACTGTATGCAAAGTTTACAACAAACAATAATATTGTAAAGACAGCCATTATAAATGCCAAGAAAATGTGAGATAGCAGTAGATTTACATGTTTTTTTCTCATAAAGCAATGTAACAGATAAGAAAAACCTGGGATGGCTTCTAAAGCTATCACAATAGCTTGTAATTTTGTTAACACACTAAATTTGCAGCAAAATCAGGAAAATTAAAAAAATTTCAACACCACCAGGTATAAACATGAGCAGGGGATCAAGATGCTATCACCAAGTGACATAAAATAACATAATAACCAATTTGGTACTGTAAGCTTATATTTTAGTTTTTATAGTTTGGAGCTCAGAGCAATATAATGCAATTCATTAGAAACTCTTGTAATCAAAGGGTGAATACATTAACCCAATATAAAGAAGATAAATTTAGATCTATTATTCTGAGACTTATAAAAACACAATACCATGTGAATGATAACAATAGTAATAGGAGAATAATTTAACAAAAATACTCAAGAATAATAACATAGATAAATAAATCTAATTGCTGTATAATTCAGAATTCATTAATCACATATAAGCATTTACTGTAAAGTAAACTGGTCTCTGGTTCAATTGTTTTAATGAGTAGGTATCATGTTCGAATATATATTGTGATCAGACATACATTATACCTAAAGCTGTGTTCACAGTTAGGACTCGGTAAAAAAAAGTCAAAATAAGCTTAATCGATTACCGTTGCTACCAATTTCAAATTTCGATTATCAATTATCACAATTCATAATTGATTAAATGTCACAAGTTATATTTTCTCTACTGTCCCTGGTAACAAGTAGTAATTTCTTCCACATAGCACATAACTTACCCACAATAAATTATAAAAACTGATCAAAGTAATAATTCAATGACACAAAAATAACCCAGAGTTGCACAATTTTGGCATGCTTTTTATTTGGTATTTACATGGTTTCTCAATTAAATTATTTCGATTATTAATGACATTGATAATCCATCTTAATTTGATAATTGATACCAAAGCCAATTCAATGTCTCAACCTTATCAAATTAAACTTTTATGAGAAAATCACCCATACCAAAATATTTCATTTTTCTGAGACGCTTTCTTTACATGACGACTCCAATCTGATAACATGGATGATATTAACCTCTGTAGGCCTATAGCTTCAGGTCATACATATCATTGTTGTCTAGAGAGCAAAATATATTTTTCCAAATTTTAAAATATTAGTTTCATAATGAAAACATTATCGAAGCCATAGTTTATAACTTGAAACTCCACAAATGTTTATGAATTACTTTTTTAACCAGCACCAATATCACAGAAATATTTCAAAACGATAGGTGAGACATAGGGAAAACCCAAAAAGTATTATGGAATAAGAAACATAATGTATTATACCTTACTGCTGTCGATAAATTGGCATTATTCAGAATTCCATAGGTAAGTTTGCTTTTAAATGGAGGCATTTTCAATTTCAGATATCACTCTGATAATAATTAATGGCAGCAGAAAATAAAATTGTATTCTCGATTAATTTACACTATCTATTTGATATGACAATCATACATGTATCTATGTTTCCAAAACTTCAGTCTGATGCCAAATGGCTTCAAGTCCAGTATTCGTACACAAGACAACGAGGCCAACTGTCAGTGTCAAAATTTCATAAGTCTAAGAAAAGAAAGACAACAGTAATGACACGTGAACACTGAAATACAAGCCCACTTCCAAATAACAGTCACAAAAAGGGTTAGCTTTTGACCTCACTTTTCGATTGCGTCTACTTTCTGACAAAATAACATTGACTTACCTATCTTAACTATATAGATAAGCTTAGGGCATTCAAAATTTTGCTTTCGTGTCAAAAATAATCAATGTGAAGAATCTAACATCCGGTGTAAATAACAGAAAGTCACGTGCTAAATAGTCTTGATCCACTAGTAAACGATGTTTGCGATTTTTTTACCATTTGTAAGTCTGGACATGTGTGGCTATGTTTACATCTTTGTACGAAAATTCGTTTTCCAAAAAAACTACTGGCTCTATATATTGGTTTCGTTCATAATTATTTTTGCATCGTCACAACGAAATATTTATGTTCATCCTTAGATTAATTTTCTTGAGATTTTTAATACACACATCAATATAATATTTTTATAAAAATGCAGGTTTCTTTTGTCAAATTTGTTAATCTTGACATAAATTGATGAGTTTGAATTTTTACTTTCGTTTACAATTTCAGTTGGGAGGAAATTTAAACGACACCATCGGCATTAGAAATCGCTTTGTCACATAACAAACTGGGTATTTGTCTGTTGTAAATTCTTTCAAAGTCTTAAGTGTCATTTAGAGACTCCTAAAGAATGTCTCGTGGAAGCAGCGCTGGGTTTGATAGGTATATTACTGTATTTTCGCCAGAGGGACGACTGTACCAAGTCGGTAAGTTATTTTTGGTGTCTTGGTTTTGCGGATTCCGACTGGCTTACTTTGAGATCAGTCTGATGAAAAGTGTGGTTCATTAAACCAACAGTGCCATACTAATAATATCTATGTTATTTCCACATCATATATTTTGTGATGACAATCACACTCATTTACATATATTTTGTTTATTAGAGTATGCATTCAAAGCAGTAAATCAAGGTGGTTTAACATCAGTAGCTGTACGTGGTAAAGATTCTGCTGTTGTTGTTACTCAAAAGAAAGTTCCAGTAAGTAGTCATCTTTGGGTTTTGCCTATTGAATAGAATACATTTTATATGGGAAATAAACCACCATTCTCTTAAAATTACTTGAAAGTCAAACACAAATTGACATTCAATCATTCATATTCTGCATGTCATGCTGAAGAAATTATTGTGAATTTTACCCATGGAAGCCATCCTGTAGGTGTGCCATAGTTAATATAAGCTTAATGTTGCTGAATTAAGAATTGTGACAAACATTTATTTCTTTTAAATTATTTCAAAGTTATACTGAATAAGCTGAAATCATTTTGATATGGAGATCTGGATACCTGTATTAAGATTCTATTTGCAAGAGACTTGTTATTTATTATAGGACAAGTTATTAGATGCTGACACAGTGACCCATTTATTTCAACTGACAGAAAAAATAGGATGTGTAATGACTGGAATGATAGGTAGGTAGTAGACTTGAGATTGTCAAGAGGTTTTCTAAATTTTATGTGTATCGGGGACACTGATCGCATCAATTGCACCATTTCAATTTTATATCAGACGCCTTTTGTTCCTGACATTCCACTAAATCTAAGTGTTTGATGATGTCACTAATTGTAAAATATGCTTTATCATATAATGCCCTTCACAATTAGTGACATCAACAAAAACTTAGTGTTGACACATAAAATTTAAAAAACCTCTTTACAACTTTTGCTTACCTCTAATCAACTGTAAAAATATTCTTTTTATACCTTCTTCATATTCCTGCATAGGGTGATCACCTCAGAAAAACAATTTGAATCTGTCTGAAAATTATGAATTACAACTGTGTATCTTTGCAACAAGATTCAAACAAGAAAAAAATATATCACCAAGGCTTATTCATTACATATACTTACAAAAATGTAGTAAATGTAATCAAAAATAAAAGATTATTTCATTCTGTTTTTAGCTGATAGTAAATCACAAGTACAAAGAGCCCGATATGAAGCAGCTAAATGGAAATATTCCTATGGTTACGAGATACCAGTTGATATGTTAGTTAAACGTATGGCTGACATTAATCAAGTCTACACACAGAGTGCTGAAATGAGACCTCTTGGATGTTGTAAGTAAAAAAATTCAAAAGCATACAATCTTGTAATTGTTTGCTGAAATAAGGAGAATAACCTTTAAAGGCTATTTTCTCAAAACTGATAAATAAACACAACATAGTAATTTCAATTCAATAAAATCTTTAAATACTAAAATGCAAGGATCACAAATTCCTCTATTTTTTTGACCAACCAGTAGTATTTTTTTGTTCAATTTATACCACTAAAAGTTTGGTTTCAGAAATAAAAAGATTTCTACATAGAAAATGACTCCCAAGACATAAAAATTTTCCCCTGTACACCACATAGGCACCTGGGAACCACAGCTGATATTTTCCTTTCCTCTATATTTTTTTGTTCCTTGCCGGGATCCCTGTGAAATGTGATCGGACATGTTTACATTTGATAGATTTTGGAACAGGCTCTGTAGTGGCTATTTTAACATGTTTTAGGTATGATATTAATTGGTTATGATGATGAATTAGGACCATTAGTCTTTAGAACTGACCCAGCTGGTTATTATTATGGTTTTAAAGCCACATCAGCTGGTGTCAAACAGTTAGAAGCCAATAGCTTTCTAGAAAAAAAGATCAAGAAGAAACAAGAACTCTCATTCAATGACACAGTGGAGGTAAGTATTCCCTGCCTCATAGACGGTTTCTCTGAATCAGTTGGGAAAAGTAAGGACGTAAAACATTAAATATTAAATCAGTTGGAATTTGGATCAGAGGTTTTCACAATCTTCTAACCTATCCTATTGGTTACAAAAATTGTATATTTGTGGTCAGTTTCATCATCTAATATTTGCTGATATTGTATTTTGAAATATGTTAACTTTTACTTTGGCAATAGTTCGTGTTGTTTCCCTTCTTCTTTGATCTTTCAATGATGGTGTATTTCTTTATCAATTTTTCAGACGGCTATAACATGTTTATCAACAGTACTATCAGCAGATTTCAAGGCAGCTGAGATTGAAGTTGGTGTTGTTTCTAAAGATCATTCTAGATTCAAGTAAATATTATCATTCTACTTTCATTTTTCTGGTACCAAAAGCCGATGTAGCAATGACACAATTTGTATTTGGCTATGTATGATTTATTTCCAAATGGCTGAAGTGAGAAATTAAGTAGCCTAAATTTCAGCTTCTCTTCAACATGCTAAAACTATTAAAAATCCCAACCCAGCCAAATAATATGCTTGCACATAGCAATTTAAAAGTTTTGATGTCTAAATATAAACGTGACTGTGTATGCAAATTCTGAATAATTAATGGGCACAGGCAACTCCTGCTGTCAAATATATTTTTTTGATTTGTTAAAATTCAATGCCTGAATTGAAGCTATTTGGATTACCATGAGCATGTATTTATACCAGTTTTTCACATATTTCAGAGTTCTCTCAGAGGAAGAAATAGATGCTCATTTACTAGCTATAGCTGAAAAAGACTAAAACAGTTACTCATTATAGGACAGTTATCACCTTTTCATATATTATAAAGATGGAGCTCCAAGTCATCACCATGGCAACAAAGCAATGTTTTGTTAAAATTATTTGTTGTACCTATTTCATTTGTCGCATAAAGATATATTATGTAAAAAGTTGGTTTTATATTTATTTTTGCTCTTTCTAAATTTCTTGTGATCCTTGCGAGTTGGTTTTTTCGTAAGAAATTTGTAAGGCACAACTACAAGAAATGACTTATACAGATGATATGAAAATAGCAAAAATATTAGCAAACTTAAAGTTTTGAGATGGTTTGCAGCATTTTCATCAATCATAATGATTCTGTTGATGCCTCTTGATTTGATAATTGATCAATTTCATTACCCCCATTCCCCCTATACATCCTAACTATTTCGTAATTTTCTGCTTGGTTTTCCCTGCAATCTTTTTTATTTCCCAAAACATTACAAAATTGCCCCCAGACTCAAAAACCTTGCTGTAATAGAGAAGCAATATGGCCAACACATCTATTGATTTAAGGCTTAATTGATTCGGTCATCCGTGAATTTGATGGTAGTTGTGGGTCACAATCTCAGTCGTCATTTTAAATCTGGTGACCTTGAATAAGTCATCCTTCCTCATAATTCCAATCAATATCAAAGACATAAATACAAAATAATCTGTAAACTCATTCAACATAACAAATTTGAACCATTGTGTTTTTCATTAAAATGATTAAAAAAATTTTTATTTTTATAGTAAACAATTCATGATAAAAATATCACAAGGGAATATATTATGGTATAACGCACTTGTTGAATAACAAATTTTATAATGATTCAACACAATTTACACATGTCGTCATCAAATGAGGGGGTAAACATGTCTTCCCTTTTCACTAAGTATGTTACACAATAATATTCTATTCCCTTGTGTTTTTGTTATATATGCGCTCTACGCTTCGAAATGTCGTTCAAATATTATAAAAATATCTATCCACATAATATACAACATTAACTATAACAAATATCGAAAATAGGAGTCATAATTGAACATATATATATTGTCTTCTCAACATAGCTTAATCTTGTCACTTGAATCTTATTCTGACCCATTTAAAATGAGTTATTATAATCATCAATCTAATTAAATTTATTTTGTTATTATTTACCTCGGTCTGAATTGTAATCTGAAAATATTTATATCAAGGTGGCGTACTGTTGAGTGTGTCTCGCTATGTCTAAATATCCAATGAATTGTTGGATAGCCAAACCAAAAGTAAAGCGATATGACCAATGAGATTATTTGAGTGCAGATACTCGCTTGTAAAATTGATTCTGATTGGTCAGAAAGTGGTGCGCGATTGTCTGTTATAAAAAGCCTGAAACCTGACCTTGGTATAAATCTCATTGGATTACAATAGAGACCAACAAAAAAACGAATTTGTAATCTTATTTCAATTAGATTGTATCATCATTAGATGACAATTTCAGCTATAAATACCAATTTTAAAAAATAAGATTTTAAATTTTGTTTTCTTACAGGATTTGAAGAAACTTAATTCACAATATACTGATGAAATCTCCGATGAGTTCAAGTTTCACAATATTTAGATGAGAAACCTTTTAGTTATTGCCCTTGAATAATACATATTGCATGGATTCGACAAATTTCAAACCAAAAATCATTAAGGATAACTGTGATTCTCTCTGTAGATATAATTCAAAGAACCATTGAAAATCAGCCATTGGTATTACATGATCTGCTAATAGTGTTATTGGTTGTCATGGCTGTTAAATCCCACCTACAAAATATTGATCAAATAATAACAGAAATCAAAATCAAAGGTCAAATTCTGCTGACTGTAAGTAACTTTATTGCCATACAAAAGTGGTTGAATGTGCAGGGTTGAATCAAACAAAAGTGGTTGGAAGTGGTTATTCTAATTCATCCCCTGGCTTTCAGGCAGGTCCCCAGGTGACCATTAGACACCATTAGACTAGAGTTGTCATTAAATTTTGCATTTGACCAACATTGTAATGGATAACCTATTATTGATGTCTGAAAGAGGATATTGACCGTCGGACATTTCAGCAGCCCCGTCGGTCATGTCCGGCATGTAGAGCCAAATCAAAATCCCTGGGCCACTTTCTTTTGATTTGCTCAAAAGGCTTTGTTGTTTTTGTTTTTGGTGAGTTCCCATGCAATTCTGGAAAGTTGAAAGGTTATCCTAATGAGGATTGATTATTCATAAAAAGTGTCAGCGAAAACATAAACAGTTCAGAAAACAGGGTTGAATTCGAGCGGTACAGCATCTCAGTTTCTGGATTAAAATTTTCTATGATTGTCCAAAATAAAAAAAATATCTATATGGTTTAAATTTAAGTTTGTGTTTTTCATGAGTGACAATGCAAAAGTTTTGCTCCATTTTTTCATTTATATTGGATAATGTAGACTTTGATAAACACTATCACCTGTTAAGATCAAGTCTTACCGGGTATTTGTCCAGATGTTATCTATTGAAATTCAAAAGACACACATCATTGCATGAACTTGATAAAAGGTTTATTTATGAAGTATTTAATGTTTTGGAAGGAGCCGTGGTGGCACAGTGTGTTAGAACCTTGCTCGCTAACCTGAAAGTCCAGGGTTCAATCCCGACATAGGTCGAGATTTTCAACCCGTTTTCCCTCTGTCAGTGATGCAGGTAAGAGGGACTGACATGGAAAAAGCGTCTAGTGGTTGGGATGGGACAATAAATCGAGGCCCTGAGTGCTTCAGGCTGCGCATGTTAAAAATGCCTCGACAGTTGGAAATCAAGAAAGAGCAGGCTAATGCCACTGTCCTGGCAAAATTTCCCTCATCGCACCCTGTATGGCATTATGCAGAAAAGTAGGACATAAAACTAAGCCAAGTAAAATCATACCTACCTCAAATCTGCAGGAAGACACTTGGTTTCTAACTTATATTTTAATACAGCTAATTGACATAAAATTTTTAAGGAAGGAGCTAAAAGAGAAAAGGACAAATAATCATGTCAAGGTACAACACTCTACTGGCCAAAAAGGAAATGTGACTGTTGTATATTGAACCACCGTAATCATTTAAAACTTAAATTTATAAAACTAGTACCATAATAATATTTATCAAGTACATGTATTTGGGTCATTATAAATAAACCAAGTACTAACAATCAGAACCAAATCATTCATAATCAATCATAATTATTTAGTATATTAGTATCCGTTAATGAATTTTCACATGCGGAAGGATATCAGATAAGTGAGTAAGTATTATGAAAAGTGGTAACAGGTGTCCACCCTTGGAAATAGCAATAGAGCCACTGAAAAAAGGAAATTGTCAACAAAGATTGAAAACTACTAGAATGAAGTTGTTTACTTACAGAAATCTAATGCATATAAATCTGAATGATCTAATAAATCATTCTCTGTTCTTTGAGTGTGTTGATCTTTTGGACTGGAAATAAAAAAGTCAAAAATATGTCAAATACAGCAATATCGCGTCAATTTGCACAAAAATAAGTGTTTGATGACATCATTCATTGCAAAAATTGTCACGATTGTCAAAATCAAATAAAGCCCTTCATGATTAGTGATGTCATCAAACACTTAGTTTAAGTTGAATTGTAGGAACCACAGATTAAAAATTTGAATGGTGCAGTGTCCCCAATACGCATACAAAACCTCTTGACAATCCCTTTGACTCTCTAAAAAAAAAAAACATACTGCAACTAACATTATTTCAAATGTATTTCAATACATGATATTTTCTTGACTCATAGTAGGACACAAAATTTCATGACATAATTTCATGACATAATTTCATGACATAATTTCATGACATGAAAATTACTTTTTTTTTGAGTAAAAACAAACCTGGTGCCACCAAACAAGAAGACTTGAGATCCAATAATACAACAACATTGTCTTCTTCTAGGACAGGGTTGATCACCTTTTACTTTAACTTCCATCCACTCCATTTTCACTATAAATAAACAAATACAGAAATAAAACCTAAACAACAACCATTTTTTACAATGGAAATATCTTGGGTTCACAAAGATGACTTATTCAAGCTCACCATACTTGCATAATTATTACATTTTTTACAAGGATAACAACTTTGGATCACAAGGATCCTTATCGTCCTTGGACAAACCTCTTGACATTGATCTTTCCCAGATTATAAATACCCATTTACAACTGGGTCAATTGGAATAATGAGGACTTATTCAAGGTCACTAGACATTCACTCACTAACCATAATTAGAACTTATTGACAACATTTATTTCATGTAATAAGCAAACCAATGATGTCACATAAATATTCCAACACTCACAACAGACTTTAGTCTGCGAAACATTGATTTAATTCTGTACAACTGTTTCAGGAACAAATATTTCGAGTCTGTCCTGTGCGTTGAATATAAACATTTGAACACAATATTTTCTGTTCTAAAAAAATCAACGTACAATATCTCATCACGTGAAATAAAATTATATTTAAACCTTGAGGTCACGTGAGAAAAGTCATGTGATAAAGCGACATACACAATGTCCATCGTGTGCGGCTAATGAAACCTGAAGACTTAACAGTGTTTTTGTTTTCAACACAAAAATAACATTGTCTGCGCCTAGCTTAACTGACTTTCCTATGGATTGTCTTCAAATAATAGTAAAGGGATCTCAAAAAGGCGTCCGCAGGTCAATCCAACAACAAAATTATTCATGAAGTTCAAACAAACAAAAACCTACCCGGATCTAAGGCATAAACATCATTATAATGTTGATCATAAATACCATTATAACCACCAAATATATACATTAATCCTTGATATGTAACTATAACATAATAACAAATATATACATTAATCCTTGATATGTAACTATAACATAATAACAAATATATACACTAGAACTGTTCTAATAACAGTACTGATACAGGGCGGGTTATGACATCCAGGTACATACGAAGATGATCTATTGCAATTACTTTATGTAAATACCTTTCTGCATCTCTAAATGTAAATATCCAAAAGTTTAAAATATATTGACTAGGAATAAAAGAATATTTGTCAATTAATAAAGACCAAGTTTGATGAAATCCGGATAAGAAATAAAAAAAAATGGTAGTGCGCATGCGCACAACAAAAATTCAATATTTCCATCAAATTTAGAATTGAATTATACACATACATACCAAGTTTGATGAAATTCGGATAAGAAATAAGAAAGTTGGTAGTGCGCATGCGCACAACAAAAATTCAATATTTCCATCAAATTTAGAATTAGATTATATACATACATACCAAGTTTGGTGAATTTCGGATAAGAAATAAGCAAGTTGGTAATGCGCATGCGCACAACAAAAATTCAATATTTCCATCAAATTTAGAATTAGATTATATACATACATACCAAGTTTGGTGAATTTCGGATAAGAAATAAGCAAGTTGGTAATGCGCATGCGCACAACAAAAATTCTATATTTTCATCAAATTTAGACTTCGATTATACACATGCATACCAAGTTTGGTGAAATTCGGATAAGAAATAAGAAAGTTAGTAATGCGCATGCGCACTAAGCAAATTCGATATATCCATCAATTTTAGAATTGGATTATACACATACATACCAAGTTTGGTGAACATCGGGTAAGAAATAAGAAAGTTGGAAAATTAAGTGGGGGTATACCTTTAATGTGCTTTCATAAGCTCAACTTACAGTATAACACTGTTCAATCCATCCTAGAGCTTATTTATATACCTTAACTGGACACAATACATTTTAAAGAAATATAGAAGGGAGGGTGTCTTTAAAACTACTTAAACTTTGATTTATATTGGGGTTGACAGCCGGGTTAATCTAATTAGCCGATTTATCTAATAATAGTCCCATGTTAAGTGAATGGGGTTTTCCAACAATACGTAACTATAACATAATAACAAATATATACATTAATCCTTGATATGTAACTATAACATAATAACAAATATATACGTTATTCCTTGATACGTATCTATAACATAATAACAAAGATATATACTAATCTTTTGAACATAATAACAAATATATAAGATACATTGATATCTAATAGAATTTTAGTTAGTATAGTTACTTACAAGCAGAGTGACTTCTGCGTCCAGAAGGTATAGCACCATGTGTTACTGGTAGTTGACTCCAGGTATTTGTGATAGTATTAAAAGTCTGTATTTTATTACAATATATTTCATGATTAGTAAAGATATCACCACCTTCATCACTCCTTCCTCCAAATATATACATTATATTATCTATACCCACTGCTGTATGGAAATCACGCCATCTTGACGGCTGTCCCTATAACATGGATACAATGTGTTACATTTATGACATAAAGGGATATAACTTAAGAATCTCATAAAAATGCTATCAAATTCCATCTTGTCATGTACGAAATTTTGGTCGTTATGGAAAACTCCTTGATAAATACAATAAATCTGGTTAAAAATCTTTTGGCTGATTTGTTTGATCTGGTTGTAACCATTGTAGTAGTGGAGGGTGTCACAAGGGGAGCAAACCATGATTACTCTTTTCAAAACACCAGATGGTACTTTTCTTTGGAAGTGCCCACAACTATACAACTCTTAACTCCTTATTTTGCAATTCTTTGTATGAGATTTTTGATCGACGGAATTGTCTTGCTTGTACAGAGTTTTTATCAAATTCATTGATTATTCATGAATGAGACACAGGATACAATTTTGTGCTGATGTGACTTTACAAAGAAATGAAGATCTTCTTACGCAAGTTTTAACATAGCTCCATGACATATTTTCAAAATCAAATAAATGAATTTCGTTGTTGAATCGATCAATCTGAAGAAAAAAATCAAAAATGCATGTCAAAATTTCACCCATAGAAGTTGGAAATTTGATCTTAATCCAATCCTACACATTTACGCAGAAATAATGATAGACATAATTATGACAAGCCAAAGCGAAAATATTTGCAGCAACAGTTCGGCTATGTTATGATCCACAAAATTCAAGTCAAGTGTTTGTTTATAGACATCAGCTTCAGTGGCGAATCGAGAAAGTGATAAAAAAAAGTCAATTTCATTGTCAGGATGGCGCCTTTGGTAAGAATGTAGTGTTCTGACATACAAAAAATCGCTCTGATAGAGTGATTTCATGTCCTGCAAATATTTCCGCTTTGGCTCCCCATACATAATAGTTGAAAATTCTTATGCCTGTTTCTTATCAATGATAGCAATACATTTATGTGAATTCTATTTCTAATGTTGATAACTCTCTATTGTGATAGATATGTAAATTCCTATAACCATTAGATCATGATAGCCAAAAATTTATGTGAATTCTAAGTGCCTAAATACTGCATATTAAACGCCATAAATCAATGTAAAGTTTAAGTGCCTAACTGCTAGAATTTTAAGTGGATAGCCATAAATTAATATGAATTTCTGTAACATTATGTCAATTGTGATTCCAGTAAGTCTTTGAAAATTCTTATGCTAGCATTTTGATCATGATACATAATATATAGTCATAATATATACCTCCTCTTCAAATCCACCAAATATATACATCTTATTATTAATTAAACAGGAAGAATGACCATCTCTAGCACCTGGTATTCTACCATATACAGTAGGTTTAGACCAGCTTAAATTACCTAAAACAATAGAAGGACAAAATCGCTGAAAGCAGTCTTTAAAAGCATTTTGATATTTATTTCATTGCTGTGTCAATCTGCAGAAATTTGTCAGCTTTAACAAAATATGAAGGAAACGCAAAATCCATAGTGAATTTCACAAATTATAAAAAATTGTGAATGATTCATATCAACAGTTCATGCATAACTCGCACTTCATTAGTTCCTTACTGAGCTTGTACTATGACCAGTTGGGATTGAATTTTTAACAAAAGAAGGAAGAATCTACCGGGTACTTACTACTATCAAAACAAAATAAAATATTACAAGCACCATCTTTATCATTCCTACCACCCCAGATATAGGCACAGTCTCCCACGGTAACAGCTGTATGTCCATATCTTTGATAAGGTACCGGTGTATCACTAGATACATCCGGAGTTGGTAGTAACTTCCACCTTAGTGATACTGAAAATTTTAAACACAGTGCATAAACAAGAAGTTACACCAAATTTATAATCCTGGCTGTGTATTCTCAAAACGATCTTAGTGCTAGGATGTCCTAGATTCTTATCTTCTAACATTGATTCGAGGACATCCTAGAGCTAAATCGTTTCAAGAATACATGGCCAGTATTTAAGGGGAAAATCATGAGGGGAATTTGAATCCATGACATCTTTCTGAAGCAAATGACAATCAAAGTTTCAACCTATTGAGGAACTGGGTCATTTTAATATTTAAGCTAAAACAGAACTCATGTAGATAGGAAATGGACATGTTCTCGTCTCTTGACTAACACATCTTACAGTTCAATCAGTACTGTCTAATTAAGAAATCAATGGCAAATATCTAATATTTCAATACTAATATCAGTACACTAGTACAATAAGTGTTAATGCGTAGTATCTTGATCCATTTCTTGTGGGACAATTCTAGCTCCTAGTTTTTAAATTGGGCTTAAGCACAGTAGGCTATATTATTACAACACAGCAGGAAATTGAAGTTTATTCCATAACAAGATAATTTTGCTGCATATTTGTCCAAACTTATTTATATGGTTCTGTGACAAGGGCAATAAATCACAAAAAACAAGCCAATTTTCAACTGGCAGATGATAAACTAACATATGATAGATCTAATAGAAACAGACCAAGAAGAGGTGAAAAGCTGTTTAGTATACTTACATGTATCTAAGATGTGAACATCCATAGGACGAGTAACATCATAATCTTCTCCTGTACAGTATCCACCAAAGGAATAAATCCTGTCACCAATGGCAACCGCTGCATGATTGACACGCCTTGGACCACCTTCTAGGTGAATTGTCCACAAAGGCATGGCCACCTCTGAGTTTTGTCTTGGACTCACTTCACATTTAAGGGATTTACTACAAAGAAAATAATGAAATGTGAAATTTTGAAACTATACCGAATTGAAATGTTTTCTATCAGAAAAGATTTACTTTTGCTCTAAAATGTGACCCAGCACATCAAACCAGGTATTAAGTAGCATTTGGTGTATGTATAGCTATTAGTATATTTGGATTCCTGGCGTCATCAGCTACATCTCAATAGCTTTCTCCATTCAGAAGATATAGTCAATTTAATATCCAGATTTGAGTCGATTTATGAAAACGTCATATTGAGAAAAACAAGGATAAAGGTAGTAAAGAGGCAAGATGAAAATTTCCTTAGCAACCATTCAGCTATATATAAAATACTGGTTACAAATAAAGTTAAACACTTCTAGATACAACATCATACAATATTTCAGAATTTCAACCCATCCAACCATGTCTTCATCCCAACTTTTCGAACTTTTTAAAAAGCTCATTACTGGGCAGTGTGACTTAATACCTGGTACGATGTGTGAGGTCACAAATAATCTTTGATCAATTTACGTCATTAAAGCTCACAATACACATTCTGACATCCAGTTTTAATTTCTTTCACTGTTCTTTCACTAGGGTTAAGTAAATATTAATATATTTCTTATTTAAACAATAAAGTTAAGAATATTGATCTATATTTATTATTTGGTAGACTGGCCTTAATAACATCAGGTTTTAGCTCTCAACTTTTCTCTGTTCGATATGTAATTCAAGGATATCCTATGCAATACTATTATGTTTTATTGAATATTGAGTCTGAGTTTCGCTCTTAAGTGCTGCGGACAACTGAAATTGTACTCTAGGCTACAATAAAGAAACCCTAACTTATACTAGCTGGAGTAAAAGTTACAAATCTCATTTATTTATTATACCAGTTTTCATCATATAAGCTTCCTACAGGAAAAATACCAAATGGATAACAAGGGGAGGCTATTGCAGATGATTTCTCATCAATAAAGTAAAGAACCATTCAAATAATATACAATTACACTATAATTGCAAAAATAATGCACAAGCCTGAAAAATATACGCACCCCTTCCTTACCTCAATATAATTGGGTAAATAATACGCACACGCATGAAAATTTTAAGTTAAAACTTTTCTTCTAAGTTCATGTAAAATTTTAGTTGAAAAGTCAAGCACCTATTTGAGAACATTAATGTTTTTTAAAAAAAATCCATTGTGAAACAAAATACCTGTTAAAAACAGAAAAAGTTTTGAATGATCTCCATTTTTTCTCAACCTTAATAGACATGGCTAAATACGGTACTGGATTACATGTTAAAAACATTACTTGGGATTATGTAAGCAATAATGGTCATTACAATCAAAAAAAGTGTTGAAAATTTGCCAAACTTTGTCCATTTATAGACTACTAGGCTAGTTAAGTCCTATATTAAAAATTCTGTGCTATGGGTAGTCTATTGTGGCCAACTATAATTTCCCTTCAAGTAACCTAAGTTCGTGCGTAACCTAATTTCACATGGCATCCACATTTGCATGTCTTGATAAACATGGGTTATCTCTACAATGTGAAACCTACTGAATTTTTGCTATTATTTCAAAGCCAAAATTTCCTTTAACCCCAAGTTGTAATTGCAATTCCAAGTGTTGTCTGCTACAATACATTCCAGTAAACAAGGACATGTGACAAACTAGCAGATTCCATGTCAGCAGAAAATTTCTATGGAACACAATGCGGGCCATATTCATATGTTGTTTCAAGAAATTACTCTTACGTTTTACTTATCTTCTTTTGTCAGTCACTATTTTTTTTTTAAATCATTGATTGTTCTTTTTAAGAAATTGTCATTAGTTATAAGCTTATGAAATCAGGATCAAGGTGAGGGATTCACAAAGAAAATCAAAACAAACCAATTTTAATTACTTTCAGGAATATCTTAAGAAACATCTAAGACATAAAAAAAAAATTCCATCTTTTAATTTTGACGAAATTTGGTTTTGAGTCTTTATTTTGTATGCATGAATATAGGTAACACCACTGTACACACTGCATATTAGCCTTCATTAGTGAATTTTTAAAGTTTACATACATTGCTAAGGTAGCCTTTAAAATCTATTCAATTTGTGCCATGGCATCAACAATAAACCATTGGCAATAAAGAAAAGATTACTTTGTTCATTAAATATATATTTTACTTCATCTCGGTAAGTCAGTGTCATTCCATTAAATTTACACTATTCGAACTTGTCATTAATCTCATAGTAGTCTTCCATGGCATAAGGCTTAAATTATAAGTTACATGGAACATAGAAAAGGCCTACATTAATCATTATGGCTATCATTATTCTTTTTGGAGTGAACTCATAAGTCTATAATATGAGCTTTTTAAACAAAAGGAAACTTTAACTAATTTGACTAATTTACCTATGTTCTTATGATCGAAAAAACGCTGATGTCAGAGGAAATTTTGGAAAAAATTATTGTGTCTGCTGAGTTGAGATCCTACTTACATTTCAATAATAGTAAATAAAGAACTGTTATCCAGACGTAATAGAAACAGTAATTTTCACCTTGAAAGAGTCTGGTAGATCACAGCTCAAAACGAAACGCCATCTAGCAGAATAACTCTTTTAGGACTAAGACAACTCTTGAATTTAGTCATAGATAATTTATTTATTTAACTCTGTATGCTAATTTCCTGAGTGTATCGGATCAGCTATCTATGCATACACGTCTATGAATATACAATAATAAAGTATTTTGATCTTTGTAATTTAAAGAAAGCCGACATTACAGACTGTGGCGCCATCATGTGGACGGATGTTCGTGTAGCGTCATAGGAAACAAAATGGCTACACTTCAAAGCAGTCAGAGTAGTGGCTCCTACTGTTCTGCAGCGAATTGTTCTAATGCTAAGAAACGAAACCCGCATTTACACTTTTTCCGATTCCCCAAAGCCCCAGACAGGTATAGAGACATTTAGGTTAAAAATGTATAGTCACTGTCATTCTCCTCCAGAATTGCTACACATGTACTTTGATGTCTTGTCTGACAAGCCACGACGGCACAAGGAGTTAGTCCGAAACATCGTATATTTAAGCCTACGAAGTATGATAGTATGACAGATTTTGACATTTGTTGACTGGAATAGGGTTAGAAAAACTTTTTCTTGGAGATTTTCCCCACAATGTAGGTTCAGGAGTTAAACATATTTATTTACCTCGGTTCTGCTATGTCTTTTCACGTTCGGTTCTGTAAAAAAAAGGCCATATATAGGACAAAAGCATGTTCCTTAAGCAACGGTACGATTATTCACATCTAACCGTTTCTTGAACAATCCCATATTCTCATCTTTAAAGACTGAATAGGCCAATGGGACAAAAGCATGTTCCTAAGCAATGGTACGATTATTCATATCTATTTATCATGTAGCCTAACTTTGCTTAAGGATTATGGGACAAATAAGAGACTTTTTAAAAAGTGAATGTAGGCTAAATAAGTTTGTTTGGTTGAATAACTGGTCTATATTTGATTTTCTGTTTGAGATGTAAGAGATGGGTGATTAACTGTAGAAGGAAAGATTTGGTGAGAAAATCAGCTTCATATCTTAATGCTAACTGTAGAATCTGCTGCCGTCATTTTGAGCCACATGTATTCATGAATGACAAGAAGGACAAGTTGGTTTGGAATGCTATTCCTACCCTTTTCCAAGATCCACCACCAAGGATAGCATCACAGCGCAAGCCACCTACTAGGAGAAGCAAAACAGTGCTGAGTATCCCACAGTTGACAGAAGAAAAATGTGTTCAGGTAATAATTTTTTTTTTTTTTTTACAAATTCCAATATCCAATACAAGGGGGCTGAATGTTTGTTTTTCTTTACACAAGATTTCCATTATCAAAAATGTCCTAAATTATACCTTAAAAACAGAGCGCACTAATTGTTAAAGTGATACTACGTCTTAGAATTAACATAAAATTTAAGAATTTTAAACTTCGTTAATAAGTGCCAGTAGATATACCTTGTGTCATAAATAACATAACAGGATCCTTATATAATCTGATAAATCAAAAAAACTTAGTAATTATCCATAAATATGTAATTAACTATTGAAAAACGCCTAATATCAAGATTAAGCGTTTTTCAATAATTACTTAGTTTTATGATTTTACAGGGATTCTGTTGTAACTTTATGACACCAGGTAAGCTAAGTGATGAATGCATACTCATATTGACCTTTTCGAGAACTTCAATTTTGTATTCATTCCAAGACATAGTATCACTTTAATAAGCAATTTGTCCTAGCTTTGGTTTTGACATTATAATGACTCTACATTTTTAGTTGAAACCTATAGAATACATAGGAGACATATTTCTCTACAATTAGGAGTAAATCCGTACAGTAGTTTTCTAACAGCTTCCAAAATGCATAACAAAATTTAATATCAGTTTATGTTTTAGATGCCCACAATAGACCACAGTTATTCTGCTACACCAGATATCAACTCAGGAACATTAACAGATGTAAGTTATTCAATAGTTACTTTTATGAATAATTACTTACTTTTATGGTTTTTATCAGATTTTACTGTGGTTCTATTGAAAATTTGATGAATATATACTCTAATTGGCCGAGTTTGAAATGTTCATTTTGTGTTTATTCTAAGTTGTAGTTTCCTAAGGTCTTCAGGTAGGCCTACAAGATCTATATTTACCTATAAAGTTCAAGCCATAGATGAATAATATCCCTTCCTTCAACATCTTTGCATTTCAGTACAATATAAGCCAATGATATTAATTGTTTCATGACATTAACGTGTGGGGTAATGAAGCGAGGTCATCTTATCATTATTGATTTTATCAACTTAGTCCAATAAGCTTATCTTTTTAAATTAGGTTAATTGTAAATGTTATAAGCACGCTCACCTACTAAATCTGCACAACTAACTTTGAATCCTGCCCATTATTATCTTATTTTTTAAATAACAAGTTGTCACCAAAAAAAATGCAAAATTATCATTTGAAATTGCATATGAATTACATGGATTGGTTTAAGATGGGTTTAAAATCCAGAGCTGATAAATATACAGATAGGCAAGTTATATATTATATAAGAAACTAGGAATGACTTTGCAATTTTCTGTCAAGGTTAAATATGGACTAATAATAATTATGAAATTTAAATTGAGCAAGATTAATCTTTCTACTGACTTACATTTAAACTTCTTCTTTCAGAGATTCCAGATGGACAATATTTTAATGATTCAAACTGGAGGTATGTATAAAGGGGAGAAAAGGTCAAGCTAACAGAGAATCTAACCAATTGCTGAATTTAATAGATATAAGCGTTTGAGCGCACAGACAACTGAAAAAGCTCAGTTGCCGCCAGTTGTCAACTATTGTTCTGCTTTCCAGCAAAAAGCACATACCGATTTAAAAAAACAATTTTAGAAGAGATGATCGCACATCCATTGTTCAAGAAGGTGAACGTTTTTTTTGGATTTGAACAGGAAATAAGCATTTAAAAAAACTTCATTTCCTGTTAGTGTCAATTTTCTGATTTACTGAAATTCTTCCTAGATTTTAAGTTTCAATTTATTTCAGGTACTATTGATAAGGGGTATCCAAAACGAAACAATGGTTATTCCTTCGAGATAGGTGAATCTGCAGTTAAGAAAATATTAGAACGTCATCATGTGACAGACTCTGTTCGCTTTGTGTCTGTTTGTAAAAAAGATAGTCAAGAGATTACTGATGATGACAGGTACATTGAACAAGATTTCAGATTTCAGTCATTTCAAAGGAGCGATTTGAGCAGTGGCTGGGTTACTTGCTGACGTTACTAATTGCAAAATATGCTTAGTTACGTATGGCTCTTTGTGATTAATGACGTCACCAGTCACCAAACACGTAGTTTTAGTGGAATTGCAGAAACCACAGACATCTGATTAAAAATTGGTAATGGTGTAAATTGATACTATCAGTGTCTCCAATACACATACAAATTTTAGAAAACCCCCTTACAATCCCTTTAACACCAGGCTCTGTCCATTGATAGACTAGTTTCTGTCATCACTTTGGATTGGAAAGCAGAAATGATTTTTGGTTGAAGGTGTTGACCTCTAGTACCTACATCCAATACAAATCCATTGATTCATTTCTCTGTATTCATTAGCTCACATGGTGCAGAAAAGTAGGACGTAAAACTCCATTTATTTCATTTCATTGAACTTGGGTATACTAAAGAATATTGAACTGGTTTCTGCAAATTTTGAAAGAAACTGCTTGATTTACATTCAGGCAGAGTCTCCTGATCTCACTGTTGTCTCATTTTTTGGACTTCCATCAACTTTGCTTCTTGTACTTGTATTTTTTTAATGATCCATTATCATTATGTCTTTCAGAAAGATATTACTGGAAACCTGTCGTATCTCAAAAGAAAAGAAAATCTTAATCACTCATGGTACAGATACAATGATTGAAACAGCCAAATATCTGGCAGCTATTCATTGTGACAAAATCATTATACTGACTGGTTCCTTCTTGCCTGAAACATTTAAAGACTCAGATGCAGAATTTAATATCGGATTTGCTTTAGGTGCCTTAAGGACTATGAAAGATGCAAATACTTTGATTGCAATGAACTGTAGAATATTCCATCATGACAATGTGTATAAGGATGATGTTTCTGGTGATTTTAAAGAATTGGACATGAAAAAATGATATTGTTATAAATTTATAATAACAGAATTGTTATCATTTCTGCTACCCCTCTCCTAGTATTACCTAGTCCGAAACAGCTGTCCCTTTTCCAGCCTCTGATAGTTACTGTGACAACAGTCAAAATACCTATCAGAGACTGAAATAGAGTCAAATGTTTCAGACTACCCAAATTGCATAATAAAAAAAAAAAAGTGTCTAACATCTGCTAATCTTAAAGGGATAAATGTCACCAAACACTTATTTTTTGTCGAATTGCAGGAACCACAATCAACTGACTGAAAATTGGAATGGTGCAAATTGATGCTATCAGTGTTTCCATACACATACAATATTTAGAAAACCTCTTTTCAATCCCTTGTATATATTTAAAAAAAAATAAAAGGATCCCCAGTATTGCCTGGATCACAGTGTTGGGGCACTGGGCGTAAATTCTAAATGTGTAATGGTGCAACCCAGAATGTCCTGTTCGGGATTATTGATAATTTAAAACCGTAAACTTCACCAGACACCGCAACTTTATCTATTTACACCATCATACAATGAAGTGACATATTCTCTTTAAAACCTTACGTAAAAACGAAAAAAAATACATTTCTATTATGTTACAATCGTGATTACCAGTTGTTGTCAGTTGCTATATCGATGTTCATTTCCTGTGTTTGGCGGCTACCTTTACTAGTAATATTTACAAAGGATATTGTAAATCTGATAGAGGAAACTACCAACTCTAATCAAACATATCTCATCACTATTATCTATTCTTGTCTGTTGATTTCTTATTATACAATCAAACAGTTTTCCAATTCTTGTTACTGTTCTTTTAAATAAATACAATATGAAGTAAATCTTCATACTGATGGCCAATTTTACAGTAGGCTATTGATCAATCAGATTTAAATTCATATCTGGATTTTTGTTTCTACAGTTATTCCACTAGCCATCCATGATCTGAGGAAATTGTCATGCGTCTCATGTTCGGGATCAGTTGATACTCAACCAATCAAATGATCTGTTCAATGAACAATTTCCTTACTATAACATGAGAAATTCCGGTATATCCACTCTTACACATTACATTTTAACAGTGTTTTTGATAGGATAGAACTATAATTTGTTTGCAACACGGAAGAAATCTTGTCAGATTATGGTTGACAGTCCAAACGATTATATTTCAGCAAGAGATTCCTTTATGAGAATTTTTCAACAACGCATCAAAGAACTTGATACTATATCTTCTATTCAGAATCCATGCTACATTCTTATGGTAGGTTAGCTACCACATTTTATTTTATGATTGATTAATCCTACACGAAATGCATGCGTTTTCGTTGCTCCCAGAGTATGAAAATCGTGTGTGGTTAAAGCTATCGTTCTTCAATAACGTCAAATCAATAAATCTATACAAAAGAAAATATGGCCGCGGTATACCAGTCATTATTATTGTAGAAGAATATGGATGCAATCGACCAATATCAAACCAAATTTTCAGTATGGCGAATAAATATTGCAATTATTATCTCTCAATTATTTTTTTTTTTTATAATTGATTTTTATTTTATGAAAGCACGATAGCTTTAAAAGTTTACTTGAGAAGTATGAAGATATCGACGTTAAATTTTTCCAGAAAGAATTGAATGGTGTATAGGAAAATCACTCATGGAATAGTTACTGAAGACTTTTAATGTCTATAGTTAGTTATACCAAAAATCAATATCTTTCACAAACATTATTAATTTTAAAAAAAGCTTGGAAAGAATCCTTACTGGCAGAAAATACTTCATGTTTACATAATTATCTATTTTAGTTACAAAAACGATAGATGTTTGTATATACCTTGCCAATCGGGATCAATATTCAGTATGTACCCGAGTTTACGCTTAATTAGATTTCGTTTATATATTGAACAGTTACACAGTCGACTGTATCTAAACTGAATTTCCTTATACTCGCTATTGTAGTAACATTGGGAATTCACTGTCATTTCCCTTAAGAGGTAACGTTATGAAAGTTTTATAAGTGTGTCGTGTCTTGTTTTGTCAACTGTATTCATTGGGATTAATGGTGATTCAGAGGATATTTTCGTACGAAAAAAAATATGTGGTCAAAGTTATGTTTTAATCAATGGCGGTTGACTTGTTGATGCGGTCATTCCTAACTTTATTTGGATAATTCTAAATTATTGAACATTTGAAAGGAATTGTATATGGAACTTTGGTATTTGAACTAGAATGTGGATAATATCGCCAATTTGTAAACCGTTTTGGTGATCTTGATTAATATGCCTGCACTGAAAGCCTCCTTGTTTTTTCTGCAAATATTGTTTGGACTATGTTGTCGTGTTTCTATTAAAATTGGTAAGTATATAAGTAGTGTATATTTGTTTTCATCCCATTCGTCCGTCTGTTCTAATTCCTTCTGAGTAATGCTGTCATAATTTTCAACTTTTTGCATGGACGATTAGAATGATGAGGTCTCGAAAGACTTAAAATTTTAAGGTTATAATTTTTTCTAATTTTGACGTTATGCTTTTAGATTTTGAACAATTTTTTCAATTGAAAAACTACTACTCTTTACTATTGGTGATTTTAATTAAATTTGGCATGTTACCTTTGTACTATCGCGTTTGTTGAATATTCTGAGCATTTCTATATAACGCTTCTTGTATCTCAATGTGTATGATGTCTCATATGTATGTGTCTATCTCAATGTGAATATATTTCAATGTGTTTATATCTCAATGTGTATATATCTCATTGTGTTTATATCTCAATGTGTTTATATCCTAATATGTATACATGTGTATATCTCTCAATGTGTATATCCCAATGTGTTTATATCTCAATGTGTATATAACTCAATGTGTGTATATCTCAATTTGTGTATATACTAATATGTATGTGTATATCTCTATGTGTATATATCTCAGGGTGTATCTAGATATTTCCTTATAGTCGCCACGCATGGTCCGCTTTCTGTACTAATCATAAAGGCCGAAGCTGGCCGTAATCCGGGATATTATGTTCGAAATAGTCTGCACTTGACAAATTTTTGATTGTTGGTAAATGTACATCGTTCGGGCAATGGTTAGAGGCGATTTTTGTTAAGATGTAATTATATCAGCAAATAAACAAAATGAAACAAAAAATAAAAAAAATTGTATTAAAGATATGTTTAAGTTGCATGATTGTTTATAATGAATAATTCATTTCCCAGCAGAAGCTGTTTATTGTCAAAGAAATAGGATGATTGATCAAAGCACATAAACTAATGAAGAAATAATTATAATGAGGCAGTATCATGTACAATATACACGACGATTCTAAAATAGAATTTAAGGGCAGAAAGTCAATTAAAGGAATACTACCTCTTAGAAAATTGTTTTTAATAGAATCTCTATATAAGTCAATATATCTATCATTATTGAAACACGATTCTAACCATGTTTCAAAATTACTTGGTTTAATGAATTATTACTTAGTTTAATGGATTTATTAGGTTACAGAGGGATTATGTTGTATATGTGGCACCGTAAATCTACTGATGAACAAAGATTCATTTTAGTCATTTTTGGTCATTCTAAGGTAGTATATCTTTAAGATTCGCGTTATAATCCAACACGCAATATTACACAAGGACCTTTTGATGAATGCTGTGATCTATTCAGAACATTATGAATTTAAAGGACAGATTCTTTCTGAAAGTTCAGTTGGATTATATGATCATAACTTCTCAACCATTCAAACTTCAAAGGTAACGTGGTCTGGTGTGTTAACTATTTAATGGAATCTTCATTAGTCTCCTATTGAGAGTTATTTTAAAAAATTAGTAGACATTCATTGAATCACATTGACTTTCTACAAATAAAATATTTCCATAGCAAATGGTAATATATTTATCTAATGATATTTTTCAGATCAGATATTGAAATACACATTAAGATTATAATTTTAAATAAATGTTCATGCATTAAAACGTAATGGGCAAAATATCAATTCGCAATAAGACAATAAAATACAAGATATGCCTAAACTTAAAGGGACTGCACAGAGGTTTACATGAATTGGGGACACCAGACCAATTTTCAATCAGACGTCTGTGGTTCCATTACTTCAACTAAAACTAAGTGTTTGATTACGTCATAAATCGCCAAATATTCATTATCACAAAAGATGCGTCGCGATTAGTGACGTCATCAAACACTTAGTTTTAGTGGAATTGCAGGAACCACAGAGGACTGACTGAAAATTTAAATGGTGCAAATTGACGCTATCAGTGTCTCCTACAAATAATTTTTCTCAGAAAACCTCTTTACAATCCCTTTAATTAAAAACTTATTTGTATTTTTAACGTATACAGTGTAGATATTGGCACTTTCGAGATTGTGGTTAGGGTTGAATTAGGCACTACACCACCTAACTTTGAATCTGATAATAATGTGTTGAATGATTGCTTTAAGTTTGGATTCAGTTGCTGCCTCCTGGAAGTTGGGGTACGATTTGTCGTCTGAACTACGTTCCTGACTCCCACCTCTCCGCTGTACCCACAGTTAACTTTGAAACTTGAATGTGAGCTCACCCGATAAGCAACATAAAATAATACAACTATTATTGTTTCCTATAGATATTCAATAACATATTAGCGTTTCACCATTAGCGTTCTCTATTACATTCATTGTAACTATTTTATCTAAATATTACTTTAAAATCACACTCATGCCATAATTGACTTTTGGGACTAAAACCTTTCATCTGGTGAGCTACGTAAACAGTGTTATCTAACAATAACAATGTAATATTCTGTCTGCATAAATGAGTAACAAATAAAGTTATAATATTTTTTATTTTTCCATGTCTATCACTTATATTGACTGTAGATTAACAACATTACAGTGTTCCATTTATCATGTCTATTCAAAGCACCATGCCCATCGTTTGCTGTTTATCTTTTTTAACAAATAACAAAGTCATAACCATGTAAACATACGATATTATTTATCATGA